GTTTGAGTCCAGGGTCAGGTGGCATGGGGCCCCGTTTAGAGCGGGGGGCCTCCAGATTGAGAGACTTTTCTGAGAATCGCTGGCACGGATAACTCACTGTGCCATGACGCCTCTCACGAAAACCCACCCCACTCTCTCACCCACCCCCCACTCTCACCACCCTCACACACACACACACAAACCACTCTCTCATCCACACACCACTCTCACCACCCTCACACCACTCTTACCACTCTCACTCACACACACAAACCACTCTCTCACCCACACACCACTCTCTCACCCACACCCCACTCTCACCACCCACACACCACTCTCACCACCCTCACACCACTCTCTCACACACACCCCACTCTCTCACCCACACCCCACTCTCACCACCCTCACACACACACACACAAACCACTCTCTCATCCACACACCACTCTCTCACCCACACCCCACTCTCACCACCCTCACACCACTCTTACCACTCTCTCACACACACACAACCACTCTCTCACACACACACCACTCTCACCACCCTCACACCATTCTCACCACTCTCACACACACCCCACTCTCACCACTCACACCCCACTCTCACCACCCTCACACCACTCTTACCACTCTAACACCATTCACACACACACACCGCACCAGAAACTAATTTAAGGCTGAGACGGCCAAACATTCACTCACACACACTCTGTCTTACAACACAAAGATAACCCGTAGAAATTTCAACAGAATGTTGGTGGCAAGTGCTGTTGGCGAGCACACGAAGGCTGACAGCACGCACCTAGTATCACACACACACACAGTTACCGAATTCTAAGACGCAAGCCCCACATGCTACATACAAGGTCGACGCGTCTTACAATCCGGAGAAAACTGAAATAAGACTTTGACGAATTCCAGTTGGGCTTAAAAATAGACAAAGATCCCCCGTATAACCTGAACAGACTTAGGGCAAGTGCTCACGGTCAACACCAGTGACGATGATCTGAATCGGTCCTGGGCCTCCCCTAGGTCGACTCAGCATCGCATAAGTGCCTGGTGCGATGTGCAAACACTGCGACTAGGGAGACAAAGGCGGCCGGGCATGGTGCTGGCCACCCACTCCCTAGTGTGCCGTGTCAGCCTTTATAGGTGCTACTGCTCGCTTAAAAATAGACAAACATGCGCACGGAATACAATCTCAAAATATATCCACAAACCATCTGTGCGAAGTCGCTCCGCGCAGCTATTTCATCTAATGCAAGGGACATACTGTGCCCCGATGTTCCTCCCTCTAAGAATAGCACGGGTGTAACCGTGCATCGGGGTTCATCGATTGAGATTGATTCTCATAACCAGGGCCGGCCACAGTGGGGTCAGGTGCCCGGGGCAAATCGCACTGTGGGGGTTCCCCACACGCCCCGACGCCTTTAAACCAAGGGTGGCACAGTCGGGTTTAAGTGTCTTTTCATATTAACACGATCATCTGAGATTGGGAGAAATCCGGTGTAATTGGTTCTAATTGCAGAACCGCACTTCTCAACGATGGGGCTTCATCCATTCCAAGCTAAGGAACTCACTGGCGCCCACGATTGTGGAGGAGAAGCTCCTCGTGTTCATCAAGACCAACCTGCCCGCCGCATTCTACGACTACCCCGTGCCCGACGGCCCCCCCGAGTACGATAGCAGCACCGACGAGGAAGCAGCCTAAGCCTTGGATCAGAGTTTCGTATTCATTAAACCAGGTTTTAATTCCCCGAAATCGGGTTTAATTGTATTAAAGAAAAAAAACCCGATGCCTGCCGCTGGAAAAATCGGGTTTTTCCACCCCATGCTTTAAACTAAACTGGACGTTTTACATCCGACACTGACATTGGATGTGAGGTCACTGAGTCAATGCGGCGTGGATGAAATGGAGGGAAGTCACCGGAGTCCTCTGTGATCGGAAAATGCCGGATAGGCTGAAGGGAAAAATATACAAGACCATCGTCCGACCGGTGGCACTCTATGGATCCGAGTGCTGGCCAGCCACGACTGTACACGAACAAGCTCTCCACACCATGGAGATGAGGATGCTCAGATGGAGCCTCGGGCTCACTCGATGGGATCGTGTCAGGAACGAAGACGTTCGGAAGCGACTTGGTGTGGCCCCCATTGCGGACAAGATGCTTGAGGCAAGGCTTCGGTGGTACGGCCATGTGATGCGAAGTGAAGAGTCATCAGTGGCCAAGACTGCCGTGCGTATTGAGCCAGAGGGCCGCCGTCCACGCGGACGTCCGAAGAAGCGATGGATGGCCCGAATAAAGGAAGACGTGAAGACGGTCAACGCATCCCCCGAAGATGCCCTGGACCGAGCCAAACGGAGAAGACAATGCCGAAAAGCAGACCCTGCGCAACAGCGGGAACAACGCTAGGAAGAAGACTGACGTTGGAGCGCGGGGCTTGGGGCGGTCGTACCCGATTCGCCATGCCCGTGTGAGACAGCTCTGCTCACAGAGCCCACCTTGATCGATGCAAGAGTCACACGGGAGTGAGTTGTTGCTCAAACGAGCCTTGAGGCGGTGACCATTTGCAGTGTTTTGTCTCATTAAAAAGATAGGAAAATGAGGGGATTGGGAAAGTTTCGATTTAAAGCTTTCGTGACTGCAGGGATTCATCTTCTTGGTTCTTTCGGTAAAGTCACGTAGAAGGTGAAATAATAAAATAATAAAAATAAAACATAATAAATACAATTCTCACGACGTTTTGGCCACAACGCAATCAGCCATCCTCAGGTGAAGAACAGGTCTGTCGGAAAGACAGCGTCTATTATATTTTATTTTTATTATTTTATTATTTCCCTTCTACGTGACTTTACCGAAAGAACCAAGAAGATGGATTTGGGAAAGGTTAAAATAACACTTCCAGAACCCTCCACTGCCTATGATTAGAATGAAGACAATTTTCAGGGGTTTTTTTTTAGGGGGGGGGGGTATGGGTCAAAGGTCACACGTGTCATACATTGGATTAAGCAGCACAGTATTCGATACCGTACGCAACCATGGGTTTGAGGGCCAAACCGTGAAGGCAGCTACACCAGAGTTCAATTCACGGCCACGGCCCAACATCGGTAGCGACTAATAATGTCTTAAGATTCCGAACCGGCGTAGTGAAGTGTGCTCACTACGCTCAACCGGTACGGAGCTGCAGTCCTCCTCTGCGATCTGGAACGGTCTCTTCCAACTTAAGTCCGTGCTCAGACGTAACAATCGGCACTTTTAAGACCGGACTGAAAATATTTTTCTCTTTTGCTCCTCGTGTTTAGTTTATTTTCATCGGTGCCATCCATGGCTCCATCTCAGCTTTTTTTTTGTATGAATACGGTGCTTTACAAACCTTGCATCGCCTGAAACAATACCCCATAAGGTGGTTATGATATAAGGCTGTAATTAAGTCTGGACCAGAGATTCAAATTCCAGCACTCGCGATCCACAACCCTACAACATCTTATGCGCGCACAGCGAGACCTCAATCTTAAATAAAATAGGCTTACTCAAGCCGATTGAAATTAAGATTTGAGATTAAAGTGCGTGTATGTACGCGTGATGTGCGCAGCGTTCATTGCCGAACGTCACGTGGGGCAGGTTTAACAATCATCAGGCGCGTGCGGTGCTGAACGACTCGGTGTGTAATTGAACGGCGTTACAACGGTAAGTGCAGAAAGAAGTAGCGTGGTGCATTGCGAGGACTGGAGTTTGACAAATCCTGACCTACTGTTAGTTTTTTGGTGAAGTCACATAGGTAAAAAATTTAATTCAAATTAATACAAATAAAATAATTTAAAAATCACGACGTTTCGGAGGCAACACAAGTCTCCGTCATCAGGTGGGACCGTCACAGCCAGACTTGATACAGCAAATCTGGCTGTGACGGTCCCACATGATGATGGAGACTTGTGTTGCCTCCGAAACGTCGTGATTTTATTATTTTATTTGTATTAATTTTAATTTCATTTTTTACCTACGTGACTTCACCGAAAAAACTAAGAGTATGAATCCTTGCAGTCACGAAAGCTTCAAATCTAGAATTAAATCCTGGCCTAGACTAAAATATTTGTGTGTACAGCACACAGCAGACCTGTGGATTTGATTCTCGTTGATTAATTTAACCACGGGTGCCTAAAAAGTGGATTCGAAAACCATGTTGTCAGCGACGCTGGTGCATGGCTCTAACCATTGCCATCATGAACACCCCCCCCTCCCCCCGTACCACCTGGCCACCTAGAAATTTCCATCTCCTAAGCAAACACATACTGCTTTTAGACATGATTTCCACAACACCAGCCCCCACCTCCGCCCTCCACATCTATCCTCGCCAGCCACCCCGTGTCTGCCTGCCAACATGTCCTATCTGGGTCTCCCTCTCTGGGGCAAAGGGGACTGGGCCGGAGGTTCTGGGTCCAAGGACGGGTCTCTGCCCAGTGTCTGGAAATGACGGGGCTTGGGGCACACAAAGCTCGTGCGTGTGGATTGGAATATTAAAATGTTGCGTCAAGGTCACATTGGACCCATGATCGTCATTATCATCATCATCGTCGTGCTTAATCATTGGCGTGGTGTCACCATGACAGTCGTCATCTTGAATTGAATCGTCAATTATCATCTTATTCATGGTTCTTTCGGTAAAGTCATAAAACATTTTTTTTTTTATTTCCCTTCTACGTGACTTTACCGAAAGAACCATGAATATGAATCCCTGCAGTCACGAAAGCTTTAAATCAAAATGATCATCTTCTTCGTGTCATGGTCAACATCATCATTTCTCGCACCTCCGATTAGCACGTTTGTCTACGTACAGTGCGAAATAAGTTCCACATGGATACATCACTGATTTTGAACTACGTAAATAATCTGCTAAACTCGATAAAAACCCGTGTCAAATGTACGACCTCCGACCGCCAAACTCGACTCCTGCCATGTCAAGTGTGCGTCGCTTTGTGAACGAAAGCACGCGTCTAAAAAACATTTCCCGGAAAAAGCAACTGGCTACGCCAATTTTTTATTTGCGTTAAAATTCAAAAGCGTACAAAATTTGAGCAATCCGAACTGTGCACCCTCGCCGCATTTTATTACGTCACCGTTGCACATTAGCGAGCGTTCGTGACGCTCGTTTTTTTCGTACAATATTGCACGTCTCGCAAATAAATGGCAATAATTTATTTTTTTAAATGTCTCGTAGACAACTCAATCAAACTTTACGTTATTTGCTCCATTAAGTTACGGTAGCAGCAGACCTCTGGACTGGCAGAGGATCGTCAGGTCAGTGGGTCAGGGAACTTGTCCCGAAAGACTAAACCACACTTCCATAATAATAATAACTTGCAGCGCGCATGATTTCGCAAACCGACAAAGGTCTGAGCGCTACTCGGAGGTGTCTGGCCTTCAAAAGGCCTCTCCCACCCAACGCTCGGACGGTGCTTCATCCGCACTGCACAGTGGGCGGGTTCCCCCGCCTGTCAGTCAACCACAAAAAAAATCAACACAGTTCAGTCCTGGGCCTTGGTAGAGCGGCTGAATCAAGGGGGCAATGAAACTAAAAAAAAGCAACGACTTATCTCGGTACATATCTACAAGAGCTCTTATCTCAGTAAACATCTAAGGGAGATTTCGATTTAAAGCTTTCGTGACTGCAGGGATTCATCTTTTTGGTTCTTTCAGTAAAGTCACGTAGAAGGGAGATAATAAAATAATAAAAATAAAACATAATAAAATCATAAATATTATGTTTTATTTCTATTATTTTATTATCTCCCTTCTACGTGACTTTACCGAAAGAACCAAGAAGATCTACAGGAGATGCTCTTGGGTCGTGGCTTTTAGAGAAAGAACTTATTATAATTGTATTTAAAATTACATTTTGTACAACTGTTGGTCACTTGGCTGAGACATCAAATGCGTGACACCCGAGAACCTGGTTTCACCCGCAGTTGAGCTGCTAAAACCCATATTCGTAACCAAGCTCTCGGTGGTTCTGGCTGTGTCTCCGACATGACCACTATGAAGCTCTTGTGAGAGAGCGCAAAGACACCAAACCACTGGGGCCTGAGCCCAGGATCTCATCGGTGCTGGTTCAGCAGCTCTGCCACTGCAATTGTGGACCATCCGAAACTTTCCGCCACCTCTTGTTTACCGACACAATCTACAGCAGCAGGTTACTGCTGATTTGAACATCATGACACTTTGAGAACACTGTCTGCAGGAGTCTGGGAGGGGGGGTTCAGATGGAGGGATGGGAGGGGACTTCACGTGCACAGGGCCAATGCTTCGTTGCCGAACAGCTCCACGAAATGCTGCACGTACTCCTCGCAGTGTTCGCCTGCACACGGGGTGTGGGGGAGCACAGGGGTTTGTACACACACCAGCGCACACAGCTAAGAATGTACAACTCAAAAGACAAATATTCCGTTCAGCCGACAGACTGTTGGGGTAAATGCTGTTATTGAGCACTAATTAAAGCCAGCACTGCACAGGCAGAAACAGCGTCCTTTTTTTCTCCAGTACTAGTTTATGGTTGAATCGACCTAGGTGAGGCCCAGGACCGGTTCAGACATTTGTCACCGGTGTTGGTTGAGAACAGGAATCGCTGGGTTTGTAAGCGCAGTGCGCTAACCGCTACAATACCGCTGCCAACACTCACAAAAAAAGATCCCCCATATAGCCTTAACAGACTGTAGGGGCAAGTGCTGTTAGCGAGCACCTATGAAGGCCGGAACGGTACACGAGGGGGAGGGTGGCCAGCACCACGCCCGACCGCCTTTGTCTCCCTAGCGGCGATGTTTACACACCGCATCAGGTACTCATGTGAGGCTGAGTCGACCTAGGGGAGGCCCAAAACGGGTTTAGATAATCGTCACTGGTGTTGGCCGTGAGCGGGAATCGAACCCGTGTTGCCGGGTTCATAGCGCAGCGCGCTAACCGCTACACCACCGCTCCCCACAAACACATACATGCACACATACATACATACATAAAAACAAGCCCACATTCATACACGCACATTTACAGACATGCGCACACAGTGACACTTCTATATATACAGTACATACCACACTCATACTAAGTGACACTCCATACATAGATACACACATTTACAGACATACAAAATTAAGACACAGGATGTTGTGATGCAGACACACACAAGACACCGGACATCCAAAAAGCACCGAACGTCTCTCAATTAAATGGTCTGTGCAAGGCATACCTATTCACACTTGACTTTACATAACGTCAACATTTCAAAAGTCAAAATTGCCTCTTTACTTGTCATTTACTTTTATACTGGTAGGAACCACCTGGTTCCACCAGCCCACAGGCGATTATTGTGTCCGTCCGTCGTGCATCCAAAAATGGGAGGGGTGGTGCTGGGTGGAGAGGGGAGGGTGGGAAGGGGCTGGGTGGGGGGTGGGAGGGGTGGGGAGGGGCTGGTCACCCCGTGGTGCCCTTATAAAACTCAACGTTTAACCTACTCACACCGGCTTGTGCCTGCCCTCACAGTCGGGCATATTTGCGGAATACACCACGCCGCCGTTGACCCTGGCCATTGACCGAGCAACCCAACGTTCCTACCAGCTCCCTCCGCAGGAATGTGTTTTAATAAATACCCTTCTTGTGTGATTCGTAGCGCACGGCAGCACGATATTTTGTGCTCAGTCGCAATTAACTTTGTTCAGCCGGTGTTAGCTGGTGATGGTGGCGTGACGGGTTTCTCCCATGCCCCCCCCTCCCCCACCGTACCGCTCCCATTCCGCCACGACACGCACCGATGCCTACTTATTTGAGGGCGATATCGGAACGCAAAATAAATTAAAGATCGATTAATCAATCGATCCATCGATCCCCCCGCATAGGTCACACCGGGGCTGAAGCGAGGGTTGCCGCGCAGGCGAGCGTTGCGCTGCTGGAAGAAGCGGAAGACGGTGAAGAAGAGCGCGCCGTCCTCCGTCGCGCGCGCCGCCTCCAGGAACTTGCGCGCCGACGCGCCGTCCTGGCTGCCCGCGGCGCGCACAAAGCGCACGGCGCCCAGCACCTGCTGCCTCGACAGCAGCACCTCGACGATCTCGTCGTTCGCAGTTCCCAGCCGCTAACCAACGGGGGGGGGGAGAGGGGAGGGGGTGGCGATGAAGGGTGGGGGGGGCGAGGGTAGCGCAGAAAGCAAGGGGTCGGCAATGGAGGAGGAAAGGTCGTCAGCTTCATTATTCTTCTTGGTTCTTTCGGTAAAGAAGTCTGCCCAATGCACAGACTCAGCGAAGGCCTACTCACCCTCAAGACAACATTCGCAACATTTTGTAAGAGAATAAATCCATTCTCATACACATACGCGTTGAATTTCGATTTAAAGCTTTCGTGACTGCAGGGATTCATCGTCTTGGTTCTTTCGGTGAAGTCACGTAGAAGGGAAGTAATAAAATAATAAAAATAAAACGTGATAAAATAACTCTCGCGACGTTTCGGCCACAACGCAAGCAGCCGTCCTCAGGTGAAGAACAGGTCTGTCGGGGAGACAGCGTCTGAATGAAACACCACCAGGCTTGGAGCGTATATTTAAGCTGGGTTGGAGGGGGAAAAGCGCCTTGACAAAAGAATTTGCTTATCAAGAGGAATTTCGAATATTTATGGGAAATGCAGATATGCGATTAGTCAATACTTCATTATTGCTGTAGTTATCATTATCATTGTTGTAATGGTTGTCACTCTTATCTCAGTCGCCGTTGTTATCATTTCACCACCGTCATCGTGAATGTAGTGCGTGTCATCGTTATCCGACTTGTAGTTAGGATCGTCCTACGTATTTGGAGTCTGCGGTGTCTCTCTCCCCGTAGTCACGCGGATTTTTCTCCGGACACTCCAGTTTTTTTCCCCTCCACATTTAGAATCAACATCACGCATTTAGAGTATTCGGCTCCGTTAAATTTCCACGCGATAAGCCGCTTGGTTGACCCATCATTAGTGATAGCAAGGTCACTTCTGAGAAAATAGCTGTGTAGCTCTCAGTGAGCCTGACCTTGTCAAATAAAATAAAATAAATAAAGTTTAGAACATTTACAAAACAAATGGAGAGACGACGGACCTTGCCCCGAGCTCAACGCCAGTATCTCAGCGGCGCTGGCGTAGTGTTACCAACAGGGCAATTATTAAAGCTCCACGTAAACAGTGAGCGAGGCACCCAGACCCCCCCCCCTCCACCCCCGTAAACTTTCCACTCCACTCGTTGTACGTACGTGTGTTATTCATGTGTATGTATGTACGTATGTTTAACGTCTTTGGCACCACACGTAGCCAAGCGTGCTAATCGTAGGTGTGTGAAATTGGAGGTGCGTCTGCATCGATACCTCCTGCCGCCGATCGGAGGTGCGGCATTGCCGCTCGTCCGAGCTCAGCTCGACGGACCGATTAAGCTTTGCCCCCTCTATGCTTTCTCAAACGCGACGCTGTGTTGGTAAACACGTGTCCTGTTACCCACTGGCGTTTGGCTGCCACGGAACTTGGCACACAACAGAGTTGGGGCTCGCGACCGGTGTCGCAAACCAGCATCGTTGTAACTTTAGGCTCGAGGCAATATATCTCCCGTGCAATCGTCGGAGTGAACATCTGTTGCGCATTTTGAAAATAACTGAAATGTTTCAACGTTTAGCTTTTTTTCCCAGAAAGCCTCGCCGAGTTGCGAAGTGCTGTGTTCAGTAGAATCCGCCACGGCGATGTTTGGGCCGAGTTAATTTGTAAAGTATGGTTTCACTTGTTAATTTTTTAAGTATGGTTTCGCTTGTTAGAGTTGTTTTGATATCTTCTGCAACGCTGTTGTTTCGCTCCGGTTTCTGTTTGCGTCACCGCAGTAATTCACTTTATTGCTTTCATAGTTTTTGGGGACTCGGGTCCACTCGTGCAAGTGAAACTTTATCCTGGTCTCTTCTTCTTGGTTCTTTCGGTAAAGTCACGTAGAAGGGAAATAATAAAATAATAAACATAAAACATAATCAAATAATTCATACGCTATCTTTCCGACAGACCTGTTCTTCATCTGAGGACGGCTGCTTGCGTTGTGGCCGAAACGTCGTGAGAATTATCTTATTATGTTTAATTTTTATTATTTATTATTCCCTTCTACGTGACTTTACCAAAAGAACCAAGAAGATGAATCCCTGCAGTCACGAAAGCTTTAAATCGAAACTTAAGCTGTGCTCAGCCAATTAATCGGTATTTATTACACGACGCCAGTAGCAGAATAAGGACATGAAGTTGATTTCTAAAAGAGTTCTGCTCTGCAGGTGAATGAGAAACCGGCCATCCCCTTAGGTTTTTTCGGTAAAGCCACGTAGGTAAAAAATTGTAATAAAATAAAATAATAATAAATGAAAATAACTAAATTCAATCACGACGTTTCGGAGGCAACACGAGTCTGAACACGAAACGTCGTGATTTAATTTAGTTATTTTCATTTATTATTATTATTTTATTTTCTTATTATAATTTTTTACCTACATGACTTTACCGAAAAAACCTAAGAGTATGAATCCTTGCAGTCACGAAAGCTTAAAATCTAGAATGTTCTGCCATCCCCTGACCACCTCGCATTCAACGAGGCTTGGCAAGGGTGATGTCACACCCGTCACACTCATGAGAGGTACCAACGATATGCTGATGAAGATAATAAGCGGTGGCACAATGGTTAGCGATGTGGGGAGGGCGGCGCTATGCCTCTCTAAATAAAATTTACGCTGAACCACCGCTTGCACATTTCCTGAGATTCAGCGGTGAACGGGACACGCACCCTGCAACTCGCAGACATCTTGCAACGGGAAATGGATAAGAGGAACAACGCAAAAAAACGAAACGGTGACTCTTTGTGTCAGCGACTCGATACCTTGAGCATGTCCAAGGCCAGCTGATGAGCGGGTGGATAGATGCTCTCCAAGGAGAGCATTAGGCAGGCCTGCAAGTACAAAAACAAAGAGCCCCCCCCCCCCCCGTATAGCCATTAGTGGACTGTCGATTCAAGTGATGTTTGCGAGCAGCACCTATGAAGGCCGGCACGGTACACGAGGCGGTGGGTGGTCAGCACCACGCCCAGCTGCCAGACAACAACAACAACAACCGCCATTCGCCACTAAGTGGCGGTGACGTCACCACGACGCTTGTGCCAGGCCATGTGCACCTTGAGGCCACGTGAAGTGTCGAACGCCCGCTGGCAGGAGGTCACGGGGCAGACCCAGGTGCCACGGGTCGACTGACCGAGATGACCGAGATGACTGGCTGATGCGCCACCTGTGCCCCCTACTGTACCAACTTGCTGTGCTTTAGCCACCCGGCGCTCCGCTCGTTGTTGTGAGCGTCGCTTCTCCGCCCTCCGTTGTTGTTGGAGGGCGACTGCCTCCACTGCCCAGTAGCGTCCTTCACGAGCCTCCTCCACTGAGGCCGATCTTGACACCGCTGGTACCAGTCATCGGCAAGTCCACTCAGCTCCACGTCCTCCTGTACCACATCACTCCATCTCTTCTCTAGCCCGTGCCGCGCCCGTTTAGCCCCCTCGATCCGGCCGAACAAAAGCTGTTTAGGCATGCGGTGGCTGGGCATGCGGGCTATATGACCCAGCCAACGCAGCCTTGCCTGCCGGAGGAGCTCACTGATGGGACTTTGCCCAGATCTTTCAAGGACTTGTGAGCTCCTCACACAATCCAGCCTGGTTAAACCCAGGATGGATCGTAGGCAGGCCAGCCTAAATGTTTCCAACCGGCGAAGATGCTCCACTAGGGGGGTCCACGTTTCGCAAGCGTAGAGAAGGGAGGGAATGACCGTGGCCGAGAAGACCTGAAGCTTCGTGCGGAGCAACAGACCAGGTAGCTTCCACACAGCGTTACGCAACCGATGAAAAGATATTGCCGCTCGACTGATTCGGAGTGAGACCTCTGCCAGACGCACACACACACACACGAACATGGAAACGCACGCACAACACAATGACAAATATACCTTTAATTCTAGATTTGAAGCTTTTGTGACTGTAAGGATTCATACTTCTTCTTGGTTCTTTCGGTAAAGTCACGTAGAATGGAAATAATAAAATAATAAAAATAAAACATTATAAAGTACAATTCTCACGACGTTTCGGCCACAACGCAAGCAGCCGTCCTCAAAGACAGCGTCAGACGCTGTCTTTCCGACAGACCTGTTCTTCACCTGAGGACGGCTGCTTGCGTTGTGGCCTTTCCGACAGACCTGTTCTTCACCTGAGGACGGCTGCTTGCGTTGTGGCCGAAACGTCGTGAGAATTATTTTATTATGTTTCATTTTTATTCTTTTATTATTTCCCTTCTACGTGACTTTACCGAAAAAACCAAGAAGATGAATCCCTGCAGTCACGAAAGCTTTAAATCGAAATTTAAGGATTCATACTATTAAGTTTTTTCAGTAAAATCACGTAGGTAAAAAATAACAAAAGTAAATTAATAATAATAAATGAAAATAAAAAGGGGCACAGCAAAACAACGACAGTTATTTTGCTGTGCCCCTTTTTACACCCGTTGAAGGAAGCTTGTGTTGCCTCCGAAACGTCGTGATTTTATTGACTTATTTTCATTTTTTATTATTTTACTTTTGCTATTTTTTACCTACGTGACTTTACCGACAAATATACCCCCATAGAGTCTGCAAAGGCTGTTGGGGAGAGTGCTCTTGGCGAGCACCTGGTGCACGAGGGGGTGGTTTGCCCAGGACTACGCCTGGGTGCCTCTGTCTCCCCCAGCACTCGTGTTTTACACCGCACCAGCTTCTCATTTGAGGCCGAGTCAGCCCAGGACAGGTGCAGATATTCGCCGCCGATTGTGGCCACGGCCGATATTCGAACCCGCGCTGCCGAGTTCGTGGCGCATTGCGCCGACACTCTGCGCCGCCACCGCTCCACGTACACACAGGACACATCCATCTAATAAAATAATAAAAACAAAACATAATAAAACAATGTGAGAATTACTTTATGTTTCATTTTTATTATTTTATTACTTCCCTTCTACGTAACTTTACCGGAAGAACCACGGAGATGAATCCCTGCAGTCACGAAAGGACACATCTACTCGCACGAACGCAATAAAGCTAAAGGTCCCCCCCCCCACCCCACTCATAGCCATACACAGGCTGTCTGGCAACATTGTCTTTAGGTTGCGTGGCTGCACTGTCGTTGCATCGGCTGCTGTGCACGCCTGGCTGCCTTTGTCTCCCCAGTGCCGACGATGTTCGTCGCGGCACATCCGACAGCGGCGACACGGGGACCGCCGCGGTTGGCTGGTGGTGGCGCGCGTCTACAATTACCTCCCCGCCCCCCCAACGAGTTACTCACCAGCGGCTTCGAGTCGCTGAGCACGTGGTACTGCAGCAGCTGGTGCAGCTGGTAGAAGCGGTTGTTCTGCACCAGCGTGTTGATCACGAGCTCGTACAGGTAGTGCTGGCAACAACAACAACAATGACCACATGGGTTTCGGTATGAGGCTCCCCCAGCTGACCATTTCCGATCTGACTGTGTCCGTCCAGTGCTCGCCAAGCAGTATGGCTTCCAGGTTGCCGAATTAATACATTGTTATAAAGTCGCACTTATCACGAACAAAGTGTTTGCCACAAATAAACTAGCTGATCTCGTCAAGGAGCATGAACTACAACGCCATCGAACAAAGACGGTCACTGTATCGCGCGCTTTCAGATGCGCTTCTACGGCCGTCTGGACTGTTCTTCTTTCCGATATTAGGAAGCCGCTGGAGAGATGCATTTTTTTTATCTGGATTGAAAACTAACTTCTTTATAACTGCTTTATTAAATCCTTTATAATAAGTTCACTTGCTTGCTGGCTTGCTTGCTTACGACCGTGCAAATCTTTCGGTCGTTTTTTAACCCACTTCCCGTGATCCAATCGAGCTGACATTTTCCACACAGACTCGTTGTGCCAGACAATTAATGTTTGTGAAAAAAAATTCCCAAAATTTTACACTTTTTAGGCAAAAAAAATGTATTTTACATATATTCAAATAGAACTCATTCTTGGCTTTGGCTGAACGTCACAGTATAAGAGCCCAGAGCGTAACCCCTCCACAGGCCGTGGCGGAGTAGCGCAGTTGGTAGCGCCCTCGCTTCCCATGCCAAAGGTCGCGGGATCGATCCCCGCGTCCTCCACAGGCGAATATATTTTTAAATCCTTTATATTAAGTTCGCTGCCACGCATATAAAGGATTTATAGTGAAAACTTTGTTTTTACGGGTTATATTTTGTATTTCGTTGTCCTTCCCCCCTGCACCTTCGATCTGGCGCGCTTGGCTGTGTACGGTGCGAAAGAAGTTCAACATGCATACAGGAGGATGCCCTCCTGGAAGTAGGCGATCACGGGGTTAATTTCGACTTGGCTCGTCAGCCGTCCAGTCTGATGTACGCACGGCACCGCTGCGACCCGGGGGTTGGATGGCGTAGTGGTCCAGTTGTTTTTTTTCCGATTTACATTTACTTAGCTTGCTGCGATGTTTTGTTTGCAATTTTTCATGATTTTTGGTGACCCAGGTAAATGCCTGCAAGTGAGACGCATTCTGCTACCTCGAGTCCAAAGCTGGTTTCAAGAAACTAAACTTGACCCGAGTGCTCGACTCACAATAAATATAAAAAAAAAACTTTTTTTTAAACGCGCTTTTATGAAATGTACGAGTAATGGAAGAACTCCACGACTCCAGGAAGTGGCCCCGAAGCTTGCCATAACGTAAGGGAGCGTTGGTGAATTACAGCCAACGTCAGTTTACCGTGGACAATCCGACCCAAGCCGAAACATAACATATAAAAAATAATGTTTAAAAAAAAAAGTTAAAAAAAAAAATTTTTAATGATAGAATATAGTCATCAGTATATGAAGTTTTTAGTCGATACCACATTGGGAAGTGGGTTAAAATTGAGTTACAAATTGAGGATACAACAACAACAGACAGAGTGAGTTAATAGAAAGCGTGTAAAAAGATAGTTTAAAAATCCATTTACATTTTTAATGATAGAATATAGTATTGTCATCAGTTAGACAAAAGTATACCACGTTTTGCAGTCGATACCACATTGGGAAGTGGGTTAAAATTGAGTTACAAGATTTGAAGATACAACAACGACGACAACAACAGACAGAGTGAGTTAAATGAAAGCGTGTAATAAAAAGGGTACGAGTTCAAAGCCCAGTTGTGGGCCAACTCAGCCCATCATCGCCATCATTATCTTTACCATCTTTGCAGGGTTCATAAAAATTACTAAAGCATCTCAGCAAATAAATGCTACTAACACGTCAACAACTATTGTTTGGCCTTAAAAGGAAGAAATACAAGTCGGCGTTATGTGGAATGGCCCTCTTTCTTCACGGCACTTTGTCCCTTGATTGTATAGCCACCCACGCAGAGGCTGGGCCAATGAGCCAATCGGCGTAAAAAAAAAAACGCCGTTAAATTCAGTTCCTGAAGAAGCTCCCAGCAGCACGTGGAGCGAAACGTCGGACATCGTGTCAAACAACGCGCACGCTGCCCCCAGCCCTGTACAACACGTGGCAAGCAGCTGGGAGCGGCGGTTGGAAACACAGAGCCACGTGGCGCCCCCTTGTGAGTGCCGGGCCTCACAGCGGCCTCCCACGTAACAGGGGAGAGCACACACGTGCAAGCGCCTCGTCCGCCCCTTGTTCATCCCACAGCTCTGAACCAGTTCTGGCAATTCCACATTCCTATGGTGCGGACAAGTCTATCCATAGGACACGTCAATATTAACTCGCCGCAAAGCAGTACTCACTTTAGCGACCCAACCCCCCCCCCCCCCCCAAAAGGGAAGATGATAAGCGGAGACGATACCCAACAGGTTGAACTGTAACTATCCTCCACCTCTTCTTGGTTCTTTCGGTAAAGTCACGTAGAATGGAAATAATAAAATAATAAAATAAAACATTATAAAATAATTGTCACGACGTTTCGGCCACAACGCAAGCAGCCGTCCTCAGGTGGAGAGCAGGTCTGTCGCGACCTGTCTACTCGACAGACCTGCTCTCCACCTGAGGACGGCTGCTTGCGTTGTGGCCGAAACGTCGTGAGAATTATTGAAAGTTTTATTTTTATTATTTTATTATTTCCATTCTACGTGACTTTAACCAAAAGAACCAAGAAGATGAATCCCTGCAGTCACGAAAGCTTTAAATCGAAATATCCTCCACCTACATTGGGGGGGGGGGGATGTGTGAGGCAGGGCTGAGACTCACCTGCACGGTTATCTGCGCTTGGTTGAGTGAGCGGATGTACTCCATGAGCACCGCGACGATGAACTTGTACGAGATTTCCTGCCACGCGAAGAAAAGAAAAACACGGCCGTCATGAACCCCCCCCACCGGTGTATACAAGAGGTGCAAGGGCTACAACCTGAAACTTCAGTTGCACTCGGGCACAGCGTCTCTGGCATGGACATTGACACATTCCTGCTGCGGAGGGAGCTGGTGGGAACGTTGGGTTGCTCGGTCAATGGCCAGGGTCAACGGCGGCGTGGTGTATTCCGCAAATATGCCCGACTGTGAGGGCGGGCACAAGCTGGCGTGAGTAGGTTAAACGTTGAGTTTTATAAGGGCACCACGGGGTGACCAGCCCCTCCCCACTCAGCCCAACCCCTCCCCAAGGTCGACTCAGCCTCAAACGAGTAACTGGTGTGGTGTGTGAACATCGCCACTGGGGAGACAAAGGCGGCCGGGTGTGGCGGATCCAAGTCCCGGGCAAAGCCGGGTAGTTACAGCTAATACAGTTATATATGAAGCCTCAAGGTCATGAGCCGTAAATCTTAGCATTTCGGCCTCAGTGTCTCCGATAGAGCCAATACAAATGTGGATTCATGCAGCATCTACGTGCGCGGCCCCATCTCCAGACACTGTGCAAGAAACGGTCCGCATGTTATTTGTTGAGAGAGACAGGTCAAGGCAGAGTAAAAAAAAAATAATATCTTGGAAGTCCAGATATGAACAGGGGTGGTGGGGAGTCAACAGCATGGATGGCTGGGGGAAGAAAGCTCCAGACCACGCGACCACCATGGGAGAGTACGAACCCAATCGGACAAACGCTTAAACCCTTGAGACGACACACAGCCCTGGTGGCTAGCCGTCTCCGACACGGCAGTTGTGACCCTCTTGTAAGTGAGATACGCAGCCTGGTGTCTCTCAGACACGCAGCCTCGGTGCTGGCGCTGGTGCCGTACCCGCTTCTCGGTGAAGGCTGACAGCACGTGCGTGTACATGGTGGACTGGTCGATCACCGACTGCTTCTGCTGGTGCCGGCTCAGTTGAGAGGAGCCTTTGTACTGGCCAGACTCCAAAGCCTGCGCACAACACAAACATCAGAGGATGCCATTCGCCACCAACCAGCAGTCACCACCACGGTGCTTGCGCCAGGCTAGGTGCACTTTGAGGCTATCACGTGGAGTGTGTGGAAGACTCGCTGCTGGCAAGTGTTCATTGGTTAACTGAAAGGCGACTGCCAATTGTGTCTCTGTGCTCCGTACTGTGCTAACTTAGCACCCTCTATTGGACAAAGTAGAAGCTGTGGGGATGCCGTGGCTTTGAGTGTGGGGAGTGGTAATGTAGGAGCTGGCATGCTGCGCTACTAACACGGTCACACAAATTCGATTCCCATTCACGGCCACCACACCCACCCTTTTCTGTGCCATGCCATATTTTGTAAGTGCTAGCTCACACCACTTTCCCCAAACAGTCTAGATTTGTCTGTTAAGGCTATATGGGGGACATTTGTATTTATGTGGTGTTATTGGTGATGATGATGATGATAGATATGATTGTGGTTATGGTGACCCGGGGTGGTGATGGTGGTCAGAGTGCATTCTTAGGTGCTCGCGAACAGACATTGCCCCAAAAGTCTTTGAAGACTATAAGGGGGATCGTTTTCTTTGATGGTGGTGATGATGGTGGTACTGGTGTCAGAGGTCGCAATTGGGTACCCAATACCCGTACCCTACCCGATACCCGGCCGGGTACGGGTAGGCCGTGAGTCACTGGTGAGTAACCGTTTGTCACTCATTTCCCAACGTCTTGTCTCTTCTCACAATTCAATTTCCTAGAATCAACCCACCCGCGCCTGCAACATGGCTTCATCCCAGAGGTCGCAATCGGGTACCCGATACCCATACGCTACCCGATACCCAGCTACCCCTACCTGGCCGGGTATCGGGTACGGTGGCGGTACTGGTGGTGATGATGGTGGTGGTACTGGTGGTACTGGTGGTGATGATGGTGGTGGTACTGGTGGTGGTACTGGTGGTACTGGTGGTGACGATGGTGGTGATGATAGTGGTGGTACTGGTGGTGACGATGGTGGTGGTACTGGTGGTGACGATGGTGGTGGTACTGGTGGTGACGATGGTGGTGGTACTGGTGGTGACGATGGTGGTGACGATGGTGGTGATGATGATGGTGGTACTGGTGGTGACGATGGTGGTGGTACTGGTGGTGGTGATGTTGCTGCGGTGGAATGCCTGCTGGTAGGCGAGCTCTGTGCTGAGCCATTCGTGGTAAACCTGGTTGAGTTTGTCAAACACGGCGGCCACCGTGGGCAGACTCTCCTGCCGCGCCGCGTACAGCACTGCACACGCAGTTCACGCACACACAGCACAGACACACACACAGTACAGACACACACACACAGCACAGACACACACACACAGCACAGACACACACACACAGCACAGACACACACACACAGCACAGACACACACACAGTACAGACACACACAGCACAGACACGCACACACAGTACAGACACGCACACGCAGTTCACGCACACACATTACAGACACACACACACACAGCACAGACACGCACACACAGCACAGACACGCACACACAGCACAGACACACACACACACGGTGACAAAGATCACCCGGAAAGCTTCAACAGGCTTGGGGCAAGTGTTGTTAGCGAGTAACACCTATGAAGGCCGGCATGACACACGAGAGGGTGGGGTGGCCAGCCCCATGCCCGACCACCTTTGTCTTCCCAGTGGCGATGATGTTTTACACACCGCATCAGGTACTCATTTTAAGTCGACCTAGGGGAGGCCCAGGACCAGTTCAGATAATCGTCACTGGTGTTAGCTGTGAGCGGGACTCGAACTTGGGTCACTGGGTTCGTAGTGCAGTGTGCTAACTGCGATACTACCCCTCTCCACGATGCGCACACAGTATATACACACATAAGCGATACACACACACCCATGTCTCTCATACCATGTTTATCCATGCCCCCATTTCCTGTGCATCTCTGTGTATTCCCATATCCCTCGTGTGTCCTCATATCCCCTGTGTTTTCTGTATCCCCACATCTCCCATTTCCCTGTCTACCCATATCCATATGCCTCCCCCGTATCACCATCTCGCCGTGTCCCTGTGTCTCCGTGTTCCATCTTGCCCTGTTGCCACTTGCCCCCTGGGTCTCCCAGTACCCGTGTTTCTCCTATATCCTCCCCATGTCCCCATGTCTCCTTATATCCCCATCCCCCACATCCCTTGCAATCCTATGTCCCCTACATGCCCCGTGCGTGTTCTGCACGTGTCCCCCACACGTCCTCTGCATGTCCCCGTCCCCCCCTCTTCCCCCCCCATGTCCACTGCTTGTCCCCCGCTTTCCCAAACTTGTCCCCCGCACCCCGCGTGTACCCATCCCCCGCGTGTCCCCCACATTTCCCCCCGGGTGTTCCCCCCCTCTGCCCCCCGGTGTCTCACCACGTGTCCCCCCCCGGCGTGTCCCCCGCGTATTCCCCATGTGCCCCCCGCAAGCCCCCATCCCCCGCCGTGGTGCCCCCCCACGTGTCCCCCCCGTGTGTCCCCCCCGTGTGTCCCCCACGTGTCCCCCCCGTGTGTCCCCCACGTGTGTCCCCCACGTGTGTCCCCCCCGTGTCCCCACCCCCCACGTGTCCCCCGCGTGTGTCCCCCCCGTGTGTCCCCCCCGTGTGTCCCCCACGTGTCCCCCCCGTGTGTCCCCCACGTGTGTCCCCCACGTGTGTCCCCCACGTGTCCCCATCCCCCGCGTGTGTCCCCCACGTGTGTCCCCCCCGTGTCCCCCGCGTGTCCCCATCCCCCGCGTGTGTCCCCCACGTGTGTCCCCCACGTGTGTCCCCCCCGTGTCCCCCGCGTGTGTCCCCCACGTGTCCCCCACGTGTGTCCCCCCCGTGTCCCCATCCCCCACGTGTGTCCCCCACGTGTCCCCCGCGTGTCCCCCCCGTGTGTCCCCCCCGTGTGTCCCCCACGTGTCCCCCCCGTGTGTCCCCCCCGTGTGTCCCCCACGTGTCCCCATCCCCCGCGTGTGTCCCCCACGTGTGTCCCCCCCGTGTCCCCCGCGTGTCCCCATCCCCCGCGTGTGTCCCCCACGTGTGTCCCCCACGTGTGTCCCCCCCGTGTCCCCCACGTGTGTCCCCCACGTGTCCCCCACGTGTGTCCCCCACGTGTGTCCCCCCCGTGTCCCCCACGTGTCCCCATCCCCCGCGTGTGTCCCCCACGTGTGTCCCCCACGTGTGTCCCCCACGTGTGTCCCCCACGTGTCCCCCGCGTGTCCCCATCCCCTGCCGTGGTGCCCCCCACGTGTCCCCCACGTGTCCCCCACGTGTGTCCCCCACGTGTGTCCCCCACGTGTGTCCCCCACGTGTCCCCCGCGTGCCCCCCGGGTGTGTCCCCCACGTGTCCCCCGGGTGTGTCCCCCACGTGTGTCCCCCACGTGTCCCCCGCGTGCCCCCCGGGTGTGTCCCCCACGTGTCCCCCGGGTGTGTCCCCCACGTGTCCCCCACGTGTCCCCCGCGTGTCCTCTGGGTGTGTCCCCCACGTGTCCCCCACGTGTCCCCCGGGTGTGTCCCCCACGTGTCCCCCGCGTGCCCCCCGGGTGTGTCCCCCACGTGTCCCCCGCGTGTCCCCCGGGTGTGTCCCCAACGTGTCCCCCGCGTGTCCCCCGGGTGTGTCCCCCACGTGTCCCCCACGTGTCCCCCACGTGTCCCCCGGGTGTGTCCCCCACGTGTCCCCCACGTGTCCCCCGCGTGTCCCCATCCCCTGCCGTGGTGCCCCCCACGTGTCCCCCACGTGTCCCCCACGTGTGTCCCCCACGTGTGTCCCCCACGTGTCCCCCGCGTGCCCCCCGGGTGTGTCCCCCACGTGTCCCCCGGGTGTGTCCCCCACGTGTGTCCCCCACGTGTCCCCCGCGTGCCCCCCGGGTGTGTCCCCCACGTGTCCCCCGGGTGTGTCCCCCACGTGTGCCCCCCACGTGTCCCCCGCGTGCCCCCCACGTGTGTCCCCCACGTGTCCCCCGCGTGTCCTCCGGGTGTGTCCCCCACGTGTCCCCCACGTGTCCCCCGGGTGTGTCCCCCACGTGTCCCCCGCGTGCCCCCCGGGTGTGTCCCCCACGTGTCCCCCGCGTGTCCCCCGGGTGTGTCCCCAACGTGTCCCCCGCGTGTCCCCCGGGTGTGTCCCCCGGGTGTGTCCCCCACGTGTCCCCCACGTGTCCCCCACGTGTCCCCCGGGTGTGTCCCCCACGTGTCCCCCGCGTGCCCCCCACGTGTCCCCCGCGTGTCCCCCGCGTGCCCCCCGGGTGCGTGCGTACACTGGCGGCACACGGTGAGCATGACGGAGCGGCACTCGCGCCGCTGCAGCAGGAACTCCATGAGACGCGAGCGGTCGGAGAACGCGTCGAGCACGGGCTCCAGGCACAGCTGCAGTGTGCACAGGCAGCCTGCGCAACGCACACACACACACACACACAATTCATACAACACACACACACACAATTCATACAACACACACGCACACAGGCAGCCTGCGCAACGCACACACACAATTCATACAACACACACACAATTCATACAACACACACACACATGTACACAATTCTTACAACACACACACAATTCATACAACACACACACAATTCATACAACACACACACACAATTCATACAACACACACACACAATTCATACAACACACACACAATTCATACAACACACACACACAATTCATACAACACACATGTACACAATTCATACAACACACATGCACACAGGCAGCCTGCGCAACGCACACACCATGTACACAATTCATACAACACACGTGTACACAATTCATACAACACACGTGTACCCAATTCATACAACACACGTGTACACAATTCATACAACACACGTGTACACAATTCATACAACACACACCATGTACACAATTCATACAACACACACCATGTACATAATTCATACAACGCACATGTACACAATTCATACAACACACACGCACACAGGCAGCCTGCGCAACGCACACACCATGTACACAATTCATACAACACACATGTACACAATTCATACAACGCACAAACATGTACACAATTCATACAACACACATGTACACAATTCATACAACACAGACAGCCTGCGCAACGCACATGTACAAAATTCATACAACACACACCATGTACACAATTCATACAAGACACGCGTACACAATTCATACAACACACACCATGTACACAATTCCTACAACGCACACACCATGTACACAATTCATACAACGCACACACCATGTACACAATTCATACAACACACATGCACACAGACAGACTGCGCAACGCACACACATGTACACAATTCATACAACACACACGCACACAGACAGACTGCGCAACGCACACACCATGTACACAATTCATACAACGCACATGTACACAATTCATACAACACACACGCATACAGCCTGCGCAATCGACGCAGCAGATACAGATAAGGGCAACGGACTAATTTCGGGCTGAGTGGACCCAGGGGAGGCCCGGTGAGGCCACTCACCGAGTTTGGCGTCAATGATGATGTTGGGCTGGAACACAATCCAGCTGGAAGAGTCTGGGCAGAAGGTCAAGGGTTAACCCGGGGAGACGCACACCATGGATGGTGGCGGCGGTGCTGATAGCGGCTGTGGTGCTGGTGATAATGATGGTCGCGGTTGTGGTTGTGGTGTGGTGATGGTAAGAGGTCACGGTGGTGATGGTGATGATAGAGGTCATGGTGGAGATGGTAGTGGTTGTGGTGATCTGGTGATGTCAGCAGTGGTGATGTCAGTGACATTAGTGATGTGGTGGTTTCAGCGCTGGTGGTGTGGGGCAGTGTTGGCGATGTTGATTTGGCAGTGTTGGCGGTGGTGATGTGGTGGTGTTAGCGGTGCCGATGCGGCGGTGTTGGCGGTGATGTGGTGGAGTTAGCTCTGGTGATGTAGTGATGATGCGCCAGTGTTGGTCGTGGTGATGCGGCAGTGTTGGCGGTGGTGATGTGGTGGTGTTAGCGGTGCCGATGCGGCGGTGTTGGCGGTGATGTGGTGGAGTTAGCTCTGGTGATGTAGTGGTGATGCGGCTGTGTTAGCGGTGGTGATGCGCCGGTGATGTAGTGGCGATGCGCCGGTGTTGGTCGTGGTGATGCGGCGGTGTTGGCGGTGCTGACGTGAGAGCCAATGCTGCCCCTGCGGTGCCGTGTCAAGGATACACAGCTCAAACGGGATCGGTGCGGGCGCCAGTGCTGCCGTGGGACCTGGGAGTCGGAAACAAAAAAAAGATCAAACAACTTCCTCCCCAGATCCACAGCTCGTGTACGCGAGTCCGAGCGAGCCAGAGCGACGAGCGTGTTGGGCTACGTATGAGCCAATGTGTGAGCGGGCGAGCGAGAGAATGATCGTGCTAGTTCATGGGCGGGAGCATCAGCAACGGGTGCGAGTGACCACGTGTGAGTGTCATTTGGAGAGTCTCAGTGAGCGAGCGAGCTGAGCATGCGAGTCGGTGTGCGGCCACTAGCGTGTACAATAACACAAGCGAGTGGCTGCTGTGCAATCAGTTCATTGTGCAGGTGTACAAGAGCGTGCAATGCAAGTGCGCGTGTGCATGCGTACGTAGCGTATGCCGGGCGTGGTGTTGGCCACCCACCCCCCTCATGTGTCGTGCTCACTTGCAGCACTTTGCCCCAACAGCATGCACTTGCGTACGTACGTGCATTCGCGAGTGTGTACATGTGAATGCATGCGTGTGTTTGTAGACCGATGCCACGTGTGTGTGTGTGCATGCGTATTCATGCATTTGCGTGAGTGTATGTTTATATGTATGCATGTTGAACTTCTTTCGCACCATACGTAGCCAACAATGCGAATCGGTGGTGTGTGTGTGTGTGTGCGTGTGCAGACCGGCGCGACTCTGCAGGGCATAGGGGCGGATGGATGCCGGCGGCAGCACCGGGTAGTGAATGTTGACGTGGCCGTCAAACTCCTTCCCCATCCGGATGTCGAAAACCAAGGACGTCTGAAACCAACAAATAAAGAATTCACGGTACCTGCATCTGTGCAAGCCTGGGTCGCCGAGGCAGTCAACATCTTGCCACCGCGGCGAGGCCGGGAGCGAGGTGATCGTGATTTATAGGCAGAGAGCGGTGGAAATGTGTAACCGGCTGTTCACGCAACACGTGGCAATGGTAGAAGCCGATTCACTGGGACTCGTCAAGACATCCCTCGATGAGATCCTAGAATCGATCTCCTACCAACAACGACATGAGCCGGATGGACCGAACGCCCCCCTCCTTTCTGATGTCTCTACGGCAAGTTACAGATTGATAGATTGAAAGGACAGATATATATATACAAACTCTTTTAGATGGATGGATATGAATAAAGATACAGAATGTGATGGGTTCATCTATAATCTGACAGATGACTAGACAGCTGGATATCTACACCAACAGATGGACAAAGAAATAGAAATACCGATTGAAGGATAACCGAATAGTTGGCTATACAGCGAGAACGACTGATACGTGAGGATGACCGAAAGCTGCGTAAGGCAGATGGACAGATAAATCGAAGCGTCCAAATTGCGCATCCACCTTGGAGATCTGGTGGTGGACTATGCAAAGGTTGTCCAACACGACAGACACTGATGATATACGGAGAAGTCACGTAGAAGGGAAATATTACCGAAAGAACCAAGAAGATGAATCCCTGCAGTCACGAAAGCTTTAAATCGAAAGATGTATGGAGAATGAACAGGCAACAGACTTATACATCGCGAGGCACAGACTGCGGGCCGAAGATCTGGTAGTCGACTATGCAGACGTTGTCCAACACGACGGACAGAGACCCATCATGCATGTGGAGAGGTAGATGATGGGCCCGAAAGGTCAACGAATAGACAGAAGACAGATGTATGCGTCGTTAGGCACAGACGGCGGGCCGAAACAATCCGGCCCTTTCCCCCGCGCGTCCACCTTGGAGGTCTGGTGGTGGACGATGAAGAGGTTGTCCACCACGTTGACCGCGAAGCGCCCCGTCGTGTTGAGCTTCAGCACGTGCTGCTTGCGGCACGGCCCGTCCCTGGGCGCCAGCGGGAGAACGAGGCAGCGTAAGGGGAGAGTGGCGGCGTCAGCGGCGTTACGATTTAAGGGTTTGGCCCACGCGCGTCGTGGTGGCAAGTTGGAAACCCGTGTGGAGGCCCCTCGGTGCGCTCACTTGGGCAGGTGGTAGAGTAGCACCTCGGCGCCGGGCTGCGCCGTCGTGCGCACCGTGTGTCGCAGCACGGCCACAAACAGCTGCCCGTATCTGCCGAGAGAGGAGAGAGCTAGGTCGCGCGGCTACCACGCGCGCTCTGCGAGGCGTGTAAATCGTGTACGCGACCCAGAGGTCGCAACCGGGTACCCGATACCCGTACCCTACCCGATACCCGGCCGGGTACGGGTACCCGTTTGCGACCCTGGTACGGCCGGGTACGGGTAGACCGTGAGTCACTGGTGAGTAACCGTTTGTCACTCATTTCGGGTAGGGTATGGGTAGGGAACGGGTACCCATACCCGGCCGGGTACGGGTACCCATTTGCGACCCTGGTGCGGCCGGGTACGGGTAAGGAATCAAAACCCGTTTGCGACCTCTGACGCTACCTATCATTGAAAACTCATTTGTTGAGAATGGCTTTTTTATGTTTAGTTTCTTGTACTTCCCTGCACCTCCGATTCGCACGGTTGGCTACGCACAGCGTGACAAAAGCTCTACATACATACGTACATACATATATGCAAGACGTCTGTGCGCAGGACCGAGGGTGCACAACACACGAGCGGCTGCGTGTGGGCAACGCGTGTGCCAGTGGTTGCACGGTGTGCGAGGGGCGACGCACATGGAGGCCATGGAGATGTCTCGCTCTTGCAGGCACAGCTTGGCGGGCTTGGGCACCAGCGGCACCTCCACCTCGAACTTGCTCAGCTTCGTCATGGAACCCGGCTGCCTCGCCGCCCACGGACCGGGGGAACAAACACAGAGACAACCCCCTGCAGCATGAGGCCGGGCCGAGCGCAGTAAATGAGCAGCGGTTAAGGTCAGAAGTGCCGCACACGTAGACCGGCGATGCACCATCGTTTGTGTCAGTGCTGGGCAAACTGTGGCCCGCGAGGCAGCATGCAGCCTGTGGAGCCCCCCGTGGTGGTGGCCTGGTCTAAGTGTGTGCGCATCTGTTGTGTGTGTGTCTGCCCCGTGTCTCCCCCGTGTCTCCCCTGTGTCTCCCCCGCGTCTCCCCCGCGTCTCCCCCGCGTCTCCCCCGCGTCTCCCCCGCGTCTCCCCCGCGTCTCCCCCGTGTCTCCCCCGCGTCTCCCTCGTGTCTCCCCCGCATCTGTCGTGTGTGTGTCTGCCCCGCGTCTCCCCACAGTCTCCCTGCACCTCCCCCGCGTCTCCTCCGCGTCTGCACCCGCGTCTCCACCTTGAAGTGGTAGGGTTGGATGACGTTGCCCAGCACGGTGGTGGAGGCCAGCACCACGCTGCTGTCTGGGCAGTACACGAACCAGTTCACGTTGAGGCTCTGGCTCTTGAGCAGCTTGAGCGAGCGTTTCTCTGGGAGGACCTGAGTGCGAGTCGACCCATGGGGCAAAACAAGACGGTCAGAGATTTCACTCGGCAATCGGCTCGTCCATCTGTCCACATGTCCATCGGTCAGATCAAGGATTCGTTAGCCCCATCAGCTTGTAAATTTGCCAACGCATCAGCTTACGATTCTGGCTACAGATTCAGGCATCGGCTCACCTGTTCGTAAATCCAGCCATTCACGAATCCACCCATTCATTAGTCCATCCATACTTCGACCAGCCCATCATTAACGCATTAGTTGCTTCATCCACTCGCCAATCCTTCCAAGAATCAATCTTGATTTGAAGCTTTCGCGACTGCAGGAAATCATACTCTTTGGTTCTTTTGGTAAAGTCATGTAGGTGGAAAAAATCATAGATCACGACGTTTCGATCGCCACAAAAGCAATCGTCTTCAGGTGGAACAGAGACGATTGCTTGTGTGGCGATCAAAACGTCGTGATCTATAATTTTTTCTACCTTTCAAGAATCCTTTCAATGATGCATTAATTGACAAATGCATCAGTCCATTCACTCATCTATCCACCAATCAGTGTATTTACTTATAAACAAAATCCACCCATTCTTCTATCAGACCATCCACACGCGGTCCAGTCCACGCCCGTCAACCCGCCGCTTACCATCGTCGCCAGCGCTGAGCTAGTTGTGGGCGCGGACACCGATGGTACTGGCTGGCTGGCTCGCTCACCTGGTAAAACTCGAGGCTAAAGTCGGTGACAAAGACGATCTCGTAGGCGCTGGTCCAGCAAAATCCTGTCACCTTGGCGTTCCTCGTCTGCGACAAACAGGGCGGACGCGGCCGTGAGTACCGGGTCGGTGGAACGATGCCGAGCAGTAGCTCGGCAATTTCCGCCTCTTTTGCAACAAGAATCGATGTCAACGTCGCAAAGGTCAGCGCCCGCCGCTGCCGCGCCTCGGTCGCGGGGGCGGCACGCATCTCCGTTGATATATCCATAAAATTCAAAACCTTGTGCTCAAATAAATCCATGCATCTTCTTGGTTCTTTCGGTAAAGCCACGCAGAATGGAAATAATAAAATAATAAAAATAAAACATAATAAAATAATTCTCACGACGTTTCGACCACAACGCAAGCAGCCGTCCTCAGGTGAAGAACAGGTCTGTCGGAAAAACAGCGTCTGAATGAACACCACCAAGCTTGTTTTATTTTTATTATTTTATTATTTCCATTCTACATGACTTTACCGAAAGAACCAAGAAGATGAATCCCTGCAGTCACGAAAGCTTTAAATCGAAATCCATGCATCTCATGGAACAAAGTATGTATGAATCGCGGGCAGTCGGATAACGAAACTTGTCAAAGTAGACCAAAAATTAATTAAAACTACACTGCATGAAAGAGACATTTAAGAATGAGCTCCTGCATTAAACCACAACCCCAGAATCAGAACGGTGACAATTCTTTGAGCTACGAAGTTGACGGCGGGGGTAGGGTGGGGGGCCACGGTGCTGATGCCCAAAGCAAGCGTCTCTCCTGTCCCACCCCTCCTCACCTTGCATTCCTGCGAATACTCGGAACTACTCAGGTCCGGGATGAAGTTAATGAACTCCTGTTGGGACAGAGACATTAAGAGAGCACACAAGGATACATGGCGGATTACATGCAATGACACATAAGCACACAAACAAGGACGCATAAACAGATACACACACACCGATACAAAGATCCCTCATTTTAGCCTGAACAGATTGTTGGGGCATGTGCTATTAGCGTGTGGCACCTATGAAGGCCGGCATGACACACGAGGGGGTGGGTGGCCAGCACCACGCCCGCCCGCCTATGGCTCCCGAGTGGCGGTGTTTACCGTACCAGGTACTCATTTGAGGCTGAGGCGACCTAGGGGAGGCCCGGGACCGGTTCAAATATTTGCTGTTATTGGTCGTGAGCGGAAATCAAACTTGGGTCGTTGGGTTCATAATGCAGCGCGCTAACCACTGCGCCACCGCTCACCACGATAACAGACTTCATCCGCCACTAAGTGGCGGTGACGTCACCGAGGCACTTGTGCCACTCACGTTACCTTCTGCAGCGCTGATGTTTATACAACGCAGCAGTTACTCACTACAGAATGAGTCGACCTAGAGGAGGGCTCGAGACCAATTAAGATATTCGTCACTGACGTTGGCCACGAGCGGTTAATCGAACTCGGGTTCCCGTGTTCGTAGCGCAGCGCGCTAAACCCGCTACACTACCGCTCCCTACGCACACAGATACACACATACATGCACACACACGAAACTGTACACACACTCGCGCATTAGGACACACATTCAAAGATGCCCCCCCCCCCACCATTTCACGAAGCTCAGCAACAGTAGCTCAGTGCTCTGACATGGCCATTATGAGCCCCGGAGGCAGGCAGCCTCCTCGAGGTTGACAGTCTTATGAAACACAAGTATAGGTCCTCACCACAGATTTGGGCGTCCTCTGCACTGCCAGAATTTTGTTCCCAACAGAAAACTTGATGGACTTAATCTCCCCTTTGTCCTCAAGTCTGGAGACCACACGAATACACACACACGCGCGCGCAAAGGCAGAGAGCACAATGAAGCAAACAAAGGCTCATTGCTAGCAGCGTGCTTCAGCCGCACCGAACCTCACAATGGCTCCTCCCACCCTCAACCAGTATATATACAAGGACTGTTTTCTTGGAATTTCTCTCACTTGATGCAGCAGTCGTGCTGTGACGGTTAAACCTGAAGATGGAAGCTTGTGTTGCCTCCGAAACGTCGTGCTTTTATTTATTTTATTTTACTTTTATTAATTAATTTTTTTACCTACGTGACTTTACCGAAAAAAACCTAAGAATATGAATCCTTGCAGTCACGAAAGCTTCAAATCTAGAAGCATTATAGACCCTGTTTGGTGAGCATCTATTAAGGCCGGGAATGGCACCACAGCCCACATGCCACACCAGGCAGACCTCATCATTTTAAGGCTGAGCCCAGGACAGGGTTCAGCCACCACCAGGAATTTAACCCAGGTTTCTGAGCTCCGTAGCACGATACACGACCCAATGCACTGCTTGTTCCCAGATACACACACGGTCATAGTCCGTGGGCCAGATCGGAAACAGGTATGACCTAAAATAGAAAAACTTTATTCGAACCCATTAATATATCCTACCAGTTATATATGTGGTAACCCTACTCATTTCAAATGTTCTTTGGTTTTTTCGGTAAAGTCACGTAGGTAAGACAATCAATAAAATAAAATAAAACTAAGTTAAATCACGACGTTTTCGGAGGCAACACAAGCTTCCTTCATCAGGTGTAAGCTTCAAATCTAGAATCATTTCAAATGGTTCACACACAATCCGGCACCTCCGATTAGCATGGCTGGCTACGTACGGTGCGAAATAAGTTCAACATATATACACATACGTTGGTCACGTACACAAATTAGAACAGCTAAAGTTATGCCACCTCCAGTGGCACCGACAAGTGAGAGATCTGGCCTGGGTCCCATGGTCAATCTGTACAGGGCAAGGTGAGTCAACACGCAAAAGATGACACGCAGTGGAGACACGAGGCAGGCGAGGTCTGGTGTGGTTGGGACAGCGTTACCGATGGCCGTAGTCCAGTGTCAAGGGAGGGGTAGTGGCGGTGCACACAATCGCGGAGTGGCTGCGTGCGGAGCTATGGAGGCATGGAGAGGTGCCGTGCACGGCAGATAACCCTTGCGGCGTGGTGTGATACGTGCCAGGGTGATTGACATGGCAAGGTATAGTGTGGTGCACGCTAATTCAATATCGTACACCGCATTGCAGTGCGGATAGTGCAGTACAACGCAATGTGTTCATACAACACGGACTTGCGTCATTGAGTGACTGAGCGGTGCAGTGTTCTGCAGTGCGGTTTTGACTCGATGGGCGCAATGCTACGCGTTGTACGGTTTGAGGCAGCACGGTTCTGTGTAGTGGCACGCTGTGGCGCGGTATGGCTCATCACCGGAAGTTGATGGTAATTTTCTCATCGAGGCCTCGCACCACCACACCAATGGCTCCGCTGGCACGCACGGCGAACACCTGGCACGGCGCACATCACCCACACATCACATGGCACACATCACCCACACATCACATGGCACACATCACCCACACATCACATGGCACCCCACACACGTCACCCACACATCACCCCACACACATAACCCACACATCACATGGCACACATCACCCAGCACCGCACACGTCACCCCACACGTCACCCCACACACATCACCCACACATCACCCACACATCACGTGGCACACATCACCCAGCACCGCACACGTCACCCCACACACATCACCCACACATCACCCACACATCACATGGCACACATCACCCAGCACCGCACACGTCACCCCACACGTCACCCCACACACATCACCCACACATCACCCACACATCACGTGGCACACATCACCCACACATCACCCACACATCACATGGCTCCCCACACACAGCACCCACACATCACCCACACATCACCCACACATCACATGGCACACATCGCCCACAACAACCGCCATTCGCCACTAAGTGGCGGTGACGTCACCACGACGCTTGTGCCAGGCTATGTGCACACACACAGCACACATCACCCACAATACACACATCACCCCGCAAACATCACCCACCACGCCACACCGCACACATAACCCGGCACCGCACACATCCTCCACACCGCACACGTCACCCTGCACCCAATATTTTACATTTATTTTATTACATTTGTTAACCCAGATGAGCCTCACAGAGTCCTATAATTATTTTTTCAAGAGGGTCCTGCCAAGTTTTCGCAGTAAGGGTTGTGGCAATAATTGCTACGTATGCTGGGGGGTGGGGCGATCATTGCTATGTATATTGCAATGGATTAATCTGCGGTCTAATTTTTCTCATTTGGCAAAGTTGTACCATCACGCCGGCACACAATGGGTCACTATTGCCAATGAGGCCACTGGGAAGCAGACGGCGCGTATGCCTCACTGTGAACACTGGGTCAGTGAAAATTGGCCGAAATGTCACCAAGTACAGAAAGTACCCCGATTTACGTCTTCCCCCCTTTTACGGCGTTTCGCAAACACGTCGGCACTTTATTAACACCGCTACTTGATTTGCGTCACCTCAACCCAAACTTGCGTCGCTGACAGCATCGCAGGTCGTCGTTATCCGTCGCCCCCCAGCCTTCACCTCCACCACCTACCCACCCACCACCGACCACCTACCCACCACCACCTACCCACCACCACCTACTACCTACCCACCACCTACCCACCACCTACCCACCACCACCACCTACCCACCACCTACCCACCACCTACCCACCCACCACCTACCCACCCACCACCTATCCACTACCCACCCACCACCACCCACCCACCCATCACCCACCCACCACCACCTACCCACCACCACCTACCCACCACCACCTACCCACCACCCACCCACCACCACCTACCTCACACTGATGATGTTTTTTTACCCTTTTATCTGGCAACAAAACTGACACTTTTTTTTACAAGGAGTCATGTTTGCATAACCACAAGACAACTTAGATTAAGGCCATCAGTCTAACTGTGTACTACAACACACAAACCTGTTTGTTGGCCTCGTCAAAGAAGACGTTGTTGATGGTGGAGATCTCCTCAAAGCGGACCGGGTTGGGCCCCAGCTCCAGGTAGAAGGCCTCCTCCTCTTCCTCCTCCTCCCTCTTCATCTCTTTGGTGGCCTCCATTGACTCCTCCACCCCCTCTCGCAACTGCTGCTGCTTCTGCTGCTGATAGCCACACAGATTTCACAAGGACACGTGGTGGTGATGATGGTGGTGATGGTGGTGGTGATGGTGGTGGTGGTGATGGTGATGATGGTGGTGGTGGTGATGGTGGTGATGGTGGTGGTGATGGTGGTGGTGGTGATGATGGTGGTGGTGGTGATGGTGATGATGGTGGTGGTGATGGTGGTGGTGATGCTGATAGACACAGATTTCACAAGGACACGTGGTGGTGATGATGGTGGTGGTGGTGATGGTGGTGATGGTGGTGGTGATGGTGGTGGTGATGGTGGTGGTGATGATTGGTGGTGGTGATGGTGCTGGTGGTGATGGTGGTGATGATTGGTGGTGGTGATGGTGCTGGTGGTGATGGTGGTGATGGTGGTGGTGATGATGGTGCTGGTGGTGATGGTGGTGGTGATGATGGTGCTGGTGGTGGTGGTGATGGTGGTGGTGATGATGATGATGATGGTGGTGGTGATGCTGATAGACACAGATTTCACAAGGACACGTGGTGGTGATGATGGTGGTGGTGGTGATGGTGGTGGTGATGGTGGTGGTGATGGTGGTGGTGATGATTGGTGGTGGTGATGGTGGTGATGGTGGTGGTGATGATTGGTGGTGGTGATGGTGCTGGTGGTGATGATGGTGCTGGTGGTGGTGGTAATGGTGGTGGTGATGGTGGTGGTGATGATTGGTGGTGGTGATGGTGCTGGTGGTGATGGTGGTGGTGGTGATGGTGGTGGTGATGGTGGTGGTGATGATGATGGTGGTGATGATGATGGTGGTGATGGTGATGGTGGTGGTGATGGTGGTGGTGGTGGTGACGATGATGATGATGATGGTGGTGGTGATGATGATGATGATGGTGGTGGTGGTGGTGATGGTGGTGATGATGGTGCTGGTGGTGATGGTGGTGGTGGTGATGGTGATGGTGGTGGTGATGGTGGTGATGGTGGTGGTGATGGTGATGGTGGTGGTGATGGTGGTGGTGATGGTGGCGGTGGTGGTGATGATGATGGTGGTGGTGGTGGTGATGGTGGTGGTGATGGTGGTGGTGATGGTGGTGATGGTGGTGGTGATGGTGGTGATGGTGGTGGTGATAGCCACACAGATTTCACAAGGACACGTGGTGGTGATGGTGGTGGTGAGACACGTGGTGGTGGTGGTGATGGTGGTGGTGATGGTGGTGATGGTGGTGGTGATGGTGGTGGTGGTGATAGCCACACAGATTTCACAAGGACACGTGGTGATGGTGATGATGTTGATGTTTCATGCTGGTCCTGACGACGACGCTCACGGTGAAACGATGTTGATGATGATGATTATAACGCCGCCGTTAATTATGCCCATGCCGAACTTTTTCAATGGTCGCGCGATGACTGATGATGATGATGTTGTTGATGATGTTGTTGTTGTTGACTTCTACAGCGCTGAGTGCGAATGACTGTGGTGGTGGTGGTGGTTGCGATGCTGCAGCTGCTGCCGAATGACGTCGGCAATGGTAACGATGCCGCTCTTACCGCTGTCGTCGCGACCGGCTGCCGCTGTTGTCGCTGCTGATGTTGTTGTTGCTGTTGTTGCTGCTGCTGTTGTTGTTGTTGTTGCTGCTGTTGTTGTTGTTGCTGTTGTTGATGTTGAGCAGCCACCACGCCGCCACTCCCCCCCCCCGGTAGCAGTTCCGGTCACGTGAGCCAGCGGCACGTGACGTTCCCACGAGGGGGGGCGGGGGCGCGGGGGATGACGTCACCAAAAACACAAAGCTCATTTGAGGCTGAGTCGACCTAGGTGGGTAGGAGCGGTTCAGGGTAATGATCCTCACTCGGCGGTGTTGGTGGCCGTGAGCGGGAATCGAAATCGGCTCCGCCGGGTTTCGTAGCGCACCGCTACACAGCAGAGGAGGGAGAGATGACGTCATCACGACGCGGGTGACGTCATGTCGTGTGTGATGCGCGGTGACGTCATCGCGTCGTTCGTCGGTGCCCTCCTCAGCGGGGTGACGTCACCGCCAGTTGGTACAACGAACAGTGCCACTGCTAATTCATCACCCCAATAATTCACAGTGTAACAAAATAAATATTTTTTTTTTGTTGCTGGGTAGTAAGTGTTATTTTCTAATTGCTTATTCCTCAAAAGTATAGGAAATGGCTATTATTGCCCATAAACTTTGCTTTTGTGACCAGGACAGTGATATTTTTGAAATATACCTATTTTCAATGAGAAAACGTGGTGTGCATTTGTGTAATTTCCTTCACATAAACGTTTGTGGGCAATAATAGCCAATAATAGCCATTTTCTATACTTTTGAGGCATAAACAATTAGAAAATAACACTTACTACCCAGGAACACAAATTGGAGGAAGCCCGTTCAATCAGGAAACATTTTGTATTTTTAAATCCTTTATATTAAGTTCACTTGCTTGCTTGCTTACGACCGTGCAAATCTTTCGGTCGTTTTTTAACCCACTTCCCGTGATCCAATCGAGCTGATATTTTGCACACAGACTCGTTGTGCAAGACAATTAATGTTCATGAAAATTTTTTTCCAAAATTTTACACTGTTTAGGGAAAACAAATTAAATATTTAATTACCAATTGCTTAATGGTGGCAGACAATCATCTGACCCATAGGTGGCAGCCATCTCAAGCCAGAGGACGAGAGGACTCTAGCCGCCACGCATATAAAGGATTTATAGTGATAAACTTTGTTTTTACGGGTTTACTTGTTACGAATTATAATCATCATCGGGTCAGATCTCATCAGTGCATTCGTCAGTAACATTCCACTGGAAACGGTTACCGGTTCGATACCGAAACCATTTATAACGGTTACCGGTTTGTATGTCTACAGTAGACGTGTAATGCCCTTTCTGGGGAAGTTAACAGTGGTTGTTCTATGGATGTACTCGCCTCCGCCATAGGAACGTGGAATGCTCACCACTGGCTTGAGGCTCTACATAAAAGGGCACCGCCTCATGCACATTTTTTCAATAAATTTGTTTTTTTTTATGCGGAATGTATGTGTGAGTACGGTCCTGGCCTTCCCCGAGGTCAACTCAGCCTCAAATTCTAGATGTGAAGCTTTCGTGACTGCAAGGATTCATATTCTTAGGTTTTTTCGGTAGAGTCACGTAGGTAAAACATTAAAATTAATAAAAGTAAAATAAAATAAAAATCACGACGTTTGTGTGTTGCCTCCGAAACGTCGTGATTTTATCAGCCTCAAATGAGTACCTGGGTGCAATGTGTAAAAACATCGCCACTGGGGAGACAAAGGCGGTCGCGCATGGTGCCGTGCCAGACTTCACACATTCCTGCGGAGGGAGCTGGTAGGAACGTCGGGTTCCTCGGTCAATGGCCTGCAGGGTCAACGGCGGCGTGGTGTATTCCGCAAATATGCACGACTGTGAGGGCGGCCACAAGCCGGCGTGAGTAGGTTAAACGTTGCGTTTTATAAGGGCACCACGGGGTGACCAGCCCCTCCCCACCCAGCCCCACCCCTCCCACCTCCCACCCAGCCCCACCCTCCCCACCCAGCCCCTCCCCACCCAGCCCCACCCCTGCCTCCTCCTCTCCACTAAGCCCCTCCCCACCCAGCCCCATCCCTCTCACCCCCATCCTCCCCACCCAGGCCCTCCCCACCCTCCCCACCCAGCCCCTCCCCACCCTCCCCTCCCCACCCAGCCCCACCCTCCCTACCCAGCCCCTCCCTGCACGACGGACGGACGGACACAATCATCCCCTGTGGGCTGGTGTAACCAGGAGGTTCCTACAAGTATTAGCTTGCCGCTAATCGCCAACAGCACTTGCCCAGCAGTCTCTGACGAGCTATAAGGGTGGTTGGGGGGGGGGGTATCTTTGTCTTTGGAGGGAGACATATGGTGAGAAGAGATGGATGAGGTGGTTGGTGTGGGTGGGGAATTGGAGAGAGGGAGGAAGAGAGAGAGGGGGGGGTAGAGAGAGAGGGGGGGGGGTAGAGAGAGGGGGGGGTAGAGAGAGGGGGGTTAGAGAGAGGGGGGGTAGAGAGAGAGGGGGTAGAGAGAGAGGGGGGGTAGAGAGATAGGGGGGGGGGTAGAGAGAGGGGGGGTAGAGAGAGAGGGGGGGGGGGTAGAGAGAGGGGGGTAGAGAGAGAGGGGGGGGTAGAGAGAGGGGGGGTAGAGAGGGGGGTAGAGAGAGAGGGGGGTAGAGAGAGGGGGGGTAGAGAGATAGGGGGGGGGTAGAGAGAGGGGGTAGAGAGGGGGGTAGAGAGTAGAGAGGGGGGGGGGGTGGGAGAGAGAGAGGGGGGTAGAGAGAGAGGGGGGGTAGAGAGAGAGAGGGGGGGTAGAAAGAGAGAGAGGGGGGGTAGAGAGAGAGGGGGGGTAGGGAGATAGGGGGGGGGGTGAGAGAGGGGGGGGTAGAGAGGAGGGGGGGGGTAGAGAGAGGGGGGGGTAGAGAGAGAGGGGGGGTAGAGAGAGAGGGGGGGGTAGAGAGATAGGGGGGGGGGGGGGTGTAGAGAGGGGGGGTAGAGAGAGAGGGGGGTAGAGAGCGAGGGGGGGTGAGAGGAGGGGGGGTTAGAGAGAGGAGAGAGAGAGAGGGGGGGGTAGAAAGAGAGAGAGGGGGTAGAGAGAGAGGGGGGTAGAGAGAGAGAGGGGGGGGTAGAAAGAGAGTGAGGGGGTAGAGAGAGAGGGGGGGTAGAGAGAGAGGGGGGTAAGGAGAGAGGGGGGGTAGAAGAGAGGGGGGGGAGAGTAGAGAGAGGGGGGGTAGAGAGAGGGGGGGGTAGTAGAGAGAGGAGGGGGTAGAGAGAGAGGGGGTAGAGAGAGAGGGGGGGGGGGGGTAGAGAGAGAGGGGGGTAGAGAGAGAGGGGGGGGGGGGTAGAGAGAGAGGGGGGGGTAGAGAGAGAGGGGGTAGAGAGAGGGGGGGTAGAGAGAGGGGGGTAGAGAGAGGGGGGGTAGAGGGGGGGGGGGTAGAGAGAGATAGGGGGGGGTAGAGAGAGAGGGGGGTAGAGAGAGAGGGGGGGTAGAGAGAGAGGGGGGTAGAGAGGGGGGGGGGTAGAGAGAGGGGGGGGGGGTAGGAGAGAGGGGGGGTAGAGAGAGGGGGGGGGGAGAGAGAGAGGGGGGGTAGAGAGAGGGGGGGGGGGGTAGAAAGAGGGGGGGGGGAGAGAGGGGGGGGGTAGAGAGAGAGGGGGGGGTAGGGGGAGTAGAGAGAGAGGGGGGGGTAGAGAGAGAGGGGGGTGGTAGAGAGAGAGGGGGAGTAGAGAGAGAGGGGGGGGTAGAGAGAGAGGGGGGGTAGAGAGAGGGGGGGGGGTAGAGAGAGAGGGAATGGGTAAGGAGAGCAGAGCGTGAAATCTATTGTGAAATATTTCATTAAAAAAGGGTGGTGGGGGGGGGCGGGTTTACATAAAGCAAAGCATTAAAACAAAACTAAATGATGAACGAAGCAAAGTGCCGACTACACCGAGCATCTTTTTGTTTCCTCTGCTCGTAAAAAAAAATCGAAGAGAGGGAGGAAGGGAAGCGAGTGTTCGAGGCATCACGTCAATGGTTGGAAATAGCACGCACGCTCATACACACACACGCGCGCACTGCTCCAGACGTCTACACGTGGAGACACTCACACGCACACACGTGCACGCAAACATCCCACGTGGAAGCCTTTAACAGAATGTTGGGTTGAGTGTTGTTAGCGAGGATGGGTGGGGTGGGGTGGGTATGGACATAACCTTTTTGTTCGTCCATCAAAGTTGATGATGACCATTGCACGTTTGTCATTTTGTTGGGATTTGATGAGTGCGCAGATGGCTGAAGAGGCCAATCCGAGCCCGGAGTTCTCTGTGGCACACTGGACAGCAGGTCAGGGAGGATGTAGAGCTCTGAGGTGCAGCCACACGTCCTTCCTTGGTAGATTTGCGCTGCTGCCTCTTCAAGATGGCACAGGAGCGTCTCCTACTCTCACAGAGGACTGCACCGTCCTGTACTTTTCTTCTCCAGACAGGTCGGTCCTGTGCTAGGGATTCCCAGCTTTTCAGGTCGAAGCCAAAGCTCTTCAAGGAAGCTTTTAGGGTGTCCTTGTAGCGCTTTTTGGGGCCACCTTGTGCTCGCTTGCCATTCTTCAGCTCGCCAAAGAAGACTTGTTTTTGGAAGTCTCGCGTAGGGCATTCTGGACAGAACCACGTGGTGGCATGTATTAGAATCTTTATTTACCCTGGAGGAATCCGATGAACTCTAAAGCTTTCGTCCACAGATGTCCTGTTGGGGCGGGTCAGAACATGACAACAGCCAACAATAGAACAACACGATAGGAGTGTGAATTATTAAAAATGTAAACAAATCACTGAACACCATCATCATCATTCATCATCACATTCATCGAAGTGCACAGGTCTGTCATCGTCGTCATTGTCATTGTCATCGTCGTCGTTGTCATTACTGGAGTCAAGTCTCAAGATATTACTGTCATTGGTGAGTGTAGAACACCATAATACGTATCGTATGAGAGAGAGAGAGTGAATGTATAATATTAAGGTTTTATAATTAAATAGATTCAAGTAAAATATTTATAAACTATAAATATACATATGTTAAACATTCTGGTACCCACACACACATATACGGAAATTCCTAGGGGGCCAATCCTACTTCGCGGATTTTCATCTATCACGAGGGGTTCCGGTCCCCATTAACCGCGATAAACGAGGGATCACTGTATACAGTACACATAGAACTAAACAATTTTGTGTCTTACCAGGTAAGGCCAACTGAGCTATTAGATTATTTTTCGAGAAGCGACCTGACCGCAAATGATAGCTCAACGAAGTGGCTTATTCATCAGACCTCCTTTGCCAGTACCCAAAATATAATAATAGGGGGGTTTCCCACGTTTTTTTGGCAAAAAACTGACACCTTTTTACAAGGATTCATGTCTGTATTAACCACAATACTTGCAGTCAAAATGCAAACAAAAAACATACTCTGATAATATATGCATTGTCCTTTTAATTCTTTATTCTTTGGTTATTTCGGTAAAGTCACGTATAAAGATAAAATCATAAATTAAATACTAGCATACGACGTTTCGATTGCAACACAAGCAATCATCATCAGGTATAAATTAAATAGAAACACAAATCTAGTATACTTGGAAATGTAATGTAATACAACAGAGAGTCGGAAAACATAACAGTCAACACCCTATCTGGTTGATTACGTTCTTCCTGAGAATGCTACATTTCTATTATTACTGGCAAAGGAGGTCTAATGATGTAGATGCTCACCCCGAGCCCTCATTACTTTTATAGTGCATCATTGTCTTTGAGCTGTACGCCTTTTGGCATCCTCTGGTCGAGCACCAATTGGGTCGAGGCTCAAAAGAAAGCCATCCCTTGCTGTGGACCAATCAGTTTCAAGGACAATGCATATATTATAATTGGTATTTTACCCTTCTATCTGGCAACAAAACTGACACCTTTTTACAAGGAGTCATGTTTGCATAGACCGCAATACCTGCAGTCATAATACAAACAAAAGACACAACTCTGATAATGTGCACTGTCCTTGAAGTTGATTGGTCCACACCCGAGACAGCTTTCCTTAGAGCCTAGTCTCACATGGGTTGGACCAGATGACGCCAAAAGGCGCGTTGTTGCCAGATAGAAGGGTAAAAAAAACAATTATCATATTTATACTGGCAAATGAGGTTCCCATAATGCATATATTATCAAAGTGTGTTTTTTGTTGTTTGCATTTTGACTGCAGGTATTGTGGTTAATGCAGTTACATGAATCCTTGTAAAAAAGGTTTCAGTTTTGTTGCCAGAAAAACGGGGAAAAGCCCCTATTATTATGAAGTGGCTTATCTCGTGGACATTTATAGCAGCAAAATAATCGAGACGCGTGTTTCTAGACGTGGAGGGTGAAACCTCGAGAGGAAAACCTGCTATCGGTGGAATAAAGTCGATGAACGTGAAAGCACCGGGCAGGGTTGTAGATCGAGAGGCAGCCCGAGAAAACGACGAGGTGATTCCAAATGGTGAACGAAGAGGTGAAGGAGTGTGACGTGGACGTTGAAATATGATGGCCCAGGGCAGATGTGAGTGTGGAGAGAAAGAGAATGCCAAGGGAGGCAGAGCCCAATGAGCACGGTTGGCTACGTACGATGCGACATAAATTCAACGCACACACACACACACGGGGAATAAGAAGAAGAAGAAGACACAGGGAGGTGGCAAGGCAATTGAGAAGTGTGGAGTGAATGTGGCAATCGTGGCCCAGGGTAGGAATTAGTGAGGTGGGAGAGAATCAAGGAGGACAGATCCCCCGCCCTCGCCACCACCGCACGAGCGGACCGCACGCCGCAGAGGAACAAGATGACGAAAGCGATTCTTTGAGATCTTTTAATTCGTCATTTTGATCTGTGCGGGGCGTTTTAATTACAAGTTCGCACCTTGCTTCCGCAGATCGTTAATGACTGGCCGGACACGCTCAGGTGGTCGTTAGAGCTGGCGGTCACCCGCAGCAGCCAAGCCCATGCACACAGTTGCGGTCTGTTCACCGCAAATGACGATGCACAGAGTTATATAACCCCCTCCACGCTCCTCGCTAAGAGAACACATTCCTCCTGCGGAGGGAGCTGGTAGGAACGTTGGGTTGCTCGGTCAATGGCCAGGGTCAACGGCGGCGTGGTGTATTCCGCAAATATGCCCGACTGTGAGGGCGGGCACAAGCCGGCGTGAGTAGGTTAAACGTTGAGTTTTATAAGGGCACCACGGGGTGACCAGCCCCTCCCCACCCAGCCCCACCCCTCCCACCCCCCACCCAGCCCCCCCGTCCCCACCCAGCCCCTCCCCACACTCCCCTCCCAACCTAGCCCCTCTCCACCCTCCCCACCCAGCACACCCCACCCTCACCTTTCCTCCCAGCCCGACCCCTCTCATTTTTGGATGCACGATGGACGGACACAATAATCCCCTGTGGGCTGGTGGAACCAGGTGGTTCCTACCAGTATTAATATTGATGTGTTGTTACTATTTATTATTGCATTTGTTTACTCTACCCATACAATCCTCGCTGAGTTGCATCTCTCTTTTTTTAGGAGGGGTTCTGCCAGGTTTTCACAGGACGGTTGCTACTATGTGTTTTCCAATTGAGTCGCTTCTGAAAAATAAGCTAATAGCTCAGTGGGCTTTACCTGTTCAGGTAAACAATAGTAGTAGGTTTTTACCCTTTAAACTGGTACAAAACTGACACCTTTATACAAGGCATCATGTTTGCAATAACCGCAACACAAGCAGTCAAAATGCAAACAAAAATAAACAACTCTGTTAATGGTAATGATATGCACTGTCCTTGAAGTTGATTGTCCACACCCGAGACAGCTTTCTTAGAGCCTAGTCTCCATTGGTGTTGGACCAGATGACACCCAAAAGGCGTACAACTCAAAAACACCAATGGAGACTAGGCTCTAAGGAAAGCTGTCTCGGGTGTGGACCAATCAACTTCAAGGACAGTGCATATCATTACCATTATCAGAGTTGTTTATTTTTGTTTGCATTTTGACTGCTTGTGTTGCGGTTATTGCAAACATGATGCCTTGTATAAAGGTGTCAGTTTTGTACCAGTTTAAAGGATAAAACCCTACTATATTTTGCCACTGGTAAAGGAGGTCTCAGGTAAACAATAATTTAGTTTAATTAGCATATATTTTAAGTGATGCGCTTACCTTTCCTATTCTTTGCACTCCTATTGTTTTTTAATCATTTGTTCTCGTAACGTTTTGACCTGCCTCTACTGAAAAGTGCTTTACAGCTCATCGGATTTCCTGCAGTATTAAAACTCTTATTCTGTACAGCCTGTCAGCGTCAATACACTCCTGGATGAAGATGTCCCCACGATGATCCAGGTCGCCGTGTGGATCATGGTGGTCAGTTGACGATACTTCAGCACACCTGGTCAGTGAGGGCAGTGGAAATCACGGCAGATGAGGGACTGGGGGGTGAGGTAGGAAGAAAGTTGAAGGTGGGGAGGCCTTGGAACCGGTGAGAAGATCACTCGCCACTGCCACTGATGTTCGCCGTGGTCAGGAACAGGGGCGGTTTCTTCATTAAGGCGATTGGGCGACGCACCACCAATGTCATTCAACCACAGAGTCACGCTAGCCGTCACTGTGCCTCTGGATATAGTCCAATCAGCGTCATGTCACGTTCTGTGGAGTACTGCCTCTTTTTGGGCAATTTCACTCCGGCTGAGAATCGCCCCGAGTGGCCCCATAGACTTACATTGAAAGATGTTTTTTTCGAACGGCGGGCGCTACAATGCATTCTCTACGGCTTCCGGGAGGGCTCGCACTAACGTGCTTACGTCATCATACGTAAGCACGTTTCATCCAACAATATAATTTGTCGCCACCTAGTGGAATCTTTAATAAAAGAAACTTGAGTGGATTGTATTAATAGTGAGTATAGAAACAAACAAGATGTATTGTAAGAGTCACTTTATTTTTCATTAATATTAAAGAAGTGAAGTTGCCTTTACATGCTTAAGCTGTTAATTTATTTATTGCATGGGTGGACCTTATCCTTATCAATCATCCAGACATTTGCCCCCCCTGAGAGATTTTGCAGGAGCCGCCACTGGTCAGGAATAGTACTCCTTGTGTCGTCGAGTTCATGGTGCAGAGTACGACACCCCCACCAGCACTCTTCGGTAATTTCCTAAATAAATAAGCAAGACGGTGTCTCCTTTATATATCCGTCTCTGGGCATAAAACATTTTTTTATTACATAACCCACTGGTCGCACGGACGGTCTTCTGGGAGTGGCATCATTTCACCAGCATTGTTTCAAGACCAAGAAAGCCCAGGATCGGTGTCAAAACTGCAGTGTCTTATCAGCAGTGACAGCTCAATGTCCATATCTTTGCTACTCGCAGATGGCAGTGAGGGGGTGGTCATCGAGATATTAGTCCTGCCCGTTAAATACGTTTTGCCCACTCTTCAGATCAGGTCGCACCCTCTGAAAAAAAAAACAACGCGAAGAAAGTTTACAGATTCTTCGCTAATTTTTTGCTCATTCTTAGGCAATGAGCTGAGCCAAATATTTCGGAAACTTTATGATCACGGCAAAGCTGACATTCATTTGCACAAATGTTGCTGTCATTGCCTATGACCAAATCATCTGGAATGCACTATATAATTACAGTATAATGATGTCAACTTATACCACTCGCTGTCGTAGAGAGAGGGAGAGAAGGAATCAGAGGCGCGAGGAGCAACCACAGATAAGCGGGGGAGGCAGCAGCCACACGCTACCAACAATTGCTCAAGCTCTGATGTCCTTTATATATGAAGGTGTTTCGGCCAATTAAAGAGAAACCCAATGCGTGAGAGGGAGATACATTGTATTCAAGTTCAAGTTCATGTATGAGGTGTAGCCCTGTGAGCCATTCGGCTCTTGAATCGGGTGCAACCGCAACAAACAAAAAACAAAAACATGAACAAAAAAACATCTTAAAGTGAATATGTGACTGAGTGCAAACAGAAAATCCAAGAAAAGACAGCAAAATATTGCAGAAAAAAATCACCGCACACCAACGCTGTGTGCAAAAATCCCAGTGGGATGCAAGTCAACAAACAACAACAACAACAACCACAAGACAACTTATCCATAGAGATGGAACAGGTGAAGTCAAAACTTTCTTGTACCGGTTTCTCCTGGCCAGCCAGGTTTTGCACCTCCTCCTTGATGCCCCAGGGGAAGAGAATTCCACAACATTTGAGTGTGATCCATCAACCATCACTCTCTCCAAAGGGCTGGATTACAGGCCACGTGCGTAGCCACCACTGGCCTTGCTGCTCAAACAAACAAACAAACGATCACATCATAAGCTAAGCAGGCTTAAGCCTGGATATTACTTGAATAGGCGGCCGTCAACATTTTGCATGGATGTTGTTTTCGGCGGCTGCCCGGGTTCGTGTGCTGGGCAGCAGAGGGCAGTGCAGCTATATCTACTTCTGTGGGGGGCATCGAACAAGTTCAAGTGCATGTATTAGGTGTAGCCCTGTGAGCCATTCGGCTCTTGAATCGGGTGCAACCGCAACAAACAAAAACATGAACAAGAAAACAGCTTAAAGTGAATATGTGACTAAGTGCAAACAGAAATCCAAGAAAAGACAGCAAAATATTGCAGAAAACAGCACCGTACACCAACGCTGTGTGCAAAAATCCCAGTGGGATGCAAGTCAAACAACAACAACAACCACAAGACAACTTAGATTAAGGCCATCAGTCTTACTCCGTACTACAACAAACAAACGTGGCCAAATCAGTAAACTTTTCGAAATCACCACCAAAGACGGTCACTGCATAGAGCGCTTTCAGATGCGCTTTTGCGGCCGTCTGGAACGCTCTTCCAATATTAGGAAGCCACTGGAGCTATGCACTTTAAAGTCCAGATTAAAAACTAATTTCTTGAGAAATACTTTTCGTGTTTAGTTTGTTGTCCTTCCCCCGCACCTCCAATAAGCACGGTTGGCTACGTACGGTGCGAAAGAAGTTCAACATGCATCCGTACAACAATGCATCACAGCCAGTACCGTGCACACAGAGTGGCAGTACTGTACCAGAGGTGTAGTAGACGCAGAGGCAGAGAGCTTGAGGGAATCTTGAGTGAGGGGGTGATTGCGTGGACAAGTAGGTGAATGGAACGAGTAGCTTAGTGAGTAGGTGAGTGGGTACATTTGACTTTGTACGGTGTGAAATAAGTGTCTCCCCGACAGACCTGGTCTTCACCTGAGGACGGCTGCTTGCGTTGTGGCCGAAACGTCGTGGGAATTATTTTATTATGTTTTATTATTATTAATTTATTATTTCTCTTCTACGTGACTTTACCGAAATAACCAAGAAGATGAATCCCTGCAGTCACGAAAGCTTTAAATCGAAAAAAAAATGCAGCCAAATACTTTAAACGCAAGTTTCTAAATGCGGAGGACCCGGAGAAAAATCCACGCGACCGCGGAGAGAGAGAAAGACACGCAAACTCCAAATATACAGCAGCAGGCGTCAGGGTCGGGATCGAACCCACGACCTCCTGTATACCTGGAGAGGTAGTTAACATCTCATAGCCACCGTGATGATGAGAGAGAGAGATATGCAAACTCCAAATATACAGCAGCAGGCGTCAAGGTCGAGATCGAACTCACGACCTCCTGTAGACCAGGCGAGGTAGTTAACATCTCCTAGCCACCGTGATGATGATGAGAGAGAGAGACACGCAGACTACAAATATACAGCAGCAGGCGTCAGGGTCGGGATCGAACCCACGACCTCCTGTATACCAGACGAGGTAGTCAACATCTCATAGCCACCGTGATGATGATGAGAGAGAAAGAGATGCAAACTCCAAATATACAGCAGCAGGCGTCAGGGTCGCGATCGGGATCGATCCCACGACCCCCTGTATACACATCGCCACCAATGCGCCCTGAGGAGTAAGTTCTATAAGCCAGTAAACAATGTCCTTCCCCTCTGTCGGACTCCAGGTCGACTTCGCCGCAAGGAGGCGGTAGAGTATGGCCGTCTTTGCTCTGAGCGTCTAACCAGAAATTAGAGACGCGTAACAATGCGCTTATCCAGCGATTACGAAAGATGCATAATGTTCATGATACGTAAACCGATTCGATTATTTACAACATCGTCATCGTCATCATCATTCCACTGCTGGATGAAAGCCTCTCCAAGCCATCGCCATTAGCATATCTGCGGTGCATGTCCCTGTCCTCAAGCTGCTTGTTGTTGCAGAGGCTCACGGTTCGAAATCCAGTGGCCGCCCTGATTAATTCAGCGTTTGTAAAATTTCGATTTAAAGCTTTCGTGACTGCAGGGATTCATCTTCTTGGTTCTTTCGGTAAAGTCACGTAGAAGGGAAAAAATAAAATAATACAAATAAAACATGATAAAATATTATAAAATAAAATAATATTTTATTATGTTTTATTTTTATTATTAGAAGGGAAATAATAATATAATAAAATAAAACATGATAAAATATTATAAAATAAAATAATATTTTATTATGTTTTATTTTAGATTATTTTATTATTTCCCTTCTACGTGACTTTACCGAAAGAACCAAGAAGATCAGCGTTTGTAATTACGGTAATACAGTAATCATGTTACACGCACCGCCTTCTTCACTCACAGTGGACGTTAAAGATCCCCTGATGTCATTCGCAAGAGGAGGTCATTATTGTGCCGGCGTCAGGCGCCAAATCTGCCAAATTCTAAAATTACAATCCACCGCCGCAAATGACTCACTTGGGATTATACGCACAGCAGCAATAATCACATACCCCTACTGGCAGACTAATGCCCCAGCAGGTAACTCATCTTGGTTAAATACAATTCACTTGGCCGTGTGTTCTCTCCTTTGTCTCCCACTCCATAATTAGTCTTGACCACCATCCACGATCCCTTCTAGCCTTGACGTGTCCTGCCCAAGTCTGTTTATAGCAGTCAATGTGATCTCTCTAACCGGTGTATGTTCTCTAATCCACGTATTCCTCTTTCTCCGTTCTCATATTTCCACAAGGGCCGCAGCACAGCAGAACAGGTTCCGGCCCTCACCACTAACATCTAAAATGTCTTCCAGAAAAGCCTGAACACAGGAGCTGTCTTCCTCGACCTCACAGCCGCCGATGACACCGTCTGGCACACTGGCAGAGGTCGCGACCGGGTACCCGATACCCGTACCCTACCCGATACCCGGCTACCCGTACCCGGCCGGGTACGGGTACCCGTTTGCGACCCTGGTGCGGCTGGGTACGGGTACGGGTAGACCGTGAGTCACTGGTGAGTCACCGTTTGTTACTCATTTCCCAACGTCTTGTCTCTTCTCACAATTCAAGTTCCTAGAATCAACCCACCCGCGCCTGCAACATGGCTTCATCCCAGAGGTCGCAATCAGGTACCCGATACCCGTACCCTACCCGTACCCGGCCGGGTACGAGTAGGGTACGGGTACGGCTGGGTACGGGTACCCATTTGCGACCCTGGTGCGGCCGGGTACGGGTAAGGAATCAAAACCCGTTTGCGACCTCTGCGCACTGGCCTCCTCCTGAAGCTATCGCGGTCCCTCCCCGACTGGGCAATCAAAATGATCACCGCAACTACTGAGCAATAGACGTTTCAGAGTTCAGCTTGGAGAGGCAAAGCGCACGTGGACGATACATTCCAACGGTTTCTCTCAAGGCCCAGTGCTGGCCCCCATTATTTTCAGCCTCCACACAAATGACCACCCAGAAACCACATCCCAAACATTAATATACGCTGACGACATCTGCCTGGCAACGCAAGCTCCCAACTTCGACACCCTGGATCAGACCCTAAACGAGGATACAGAAAAACTCGAACAACACTGCAACACATGGCGACTTCAACCAAGCCCTGCAAAAAACTGTGCCCAGTGTATTCCACCTCTACAACGCGAAGGCCAATAAAGAGCTCAACATCCAGACGAACAACCACAAGCTACAGCACCACCCCACCCCCACATACCTCGGGGTGACCCTGGAGAGGTCACTCAGCTTCCGGGAGGACCTGCGGACGACAGCAGCCAAGATCAAAACCAGGAACAACCTCATCTCCAAACAAGCTGTCTCAACATGGGGCACCGCTACCACCACCCTCCTCCATACCGCAGCACGAGCACTCTCGTTCTCAGCAGCAGAACACTGTGCACCTGTCAGGTCAAGGTCATCGCACAGCCAAACACAACCATGCGCATTGTCACTGCTACACTACCATTCACCCCTCTTCTCTGGCTTCCTGTCCTCCTGGCAAACATCACCCCCCCCCCCCCCCCCACCCCACATGTCCGGAGACTCGCAATAACCCAGAAAATGGTTGAAAACGTCCACAACGCCGCACACCTGCCACTCCACCAGGACCTCTTCAACCCACCAAAGATGGTGCCTCCCCCTCAAGAAAGCCGATTTGGAAAGACCCAGCCACTCACGACTTAAACACAAATCTCACCTGGACACAAGAATGAGAGTCACTGGACCTGGCAAATAAGTACCTCATCACTACCCCCACACAACCTCCCCAGGAAGGAGTGGTCCACCCTCAACAGGTTCAACCTCCACCAATGAGGCACAAGATCAAGCCCGAGAAGATGGATACAAACTCAGCAGTCACTGGAAGGACGTTATCAACCAGTTGAAGTCATAACTGGCTGTCATGTTTCCATTTTAGACCTGGCAGCCCTTTAATTGGTGGAAGCCCACCACCGTGACCATCACTGGCCACTACTACCATCACGACTAGCAGTAGCCCTTTAATTGGTGGAAGCCCACCACCAGGACCATCACTGCCCACTACTGCCATCATCACTAGCAGTAGCCCTTTGTTGGTGGAAGCCCATGACCAGCGCCATCGTTGCCCTCTAGAGTACCATCACTTACATTAACATCAGCTGCTCCGCACATGCTGATGACACTTGGGCTACGCACATCTAAAACCTTTATAAACAGTTTGCCGTTAGAGGCTAACCTCCTTTTCCTGATGACGGCCGCTTGTGTTGCGACCGAAACGTCGTAGTTTTTTGTTATTTTCTTTGAACCTATCTACGTGACTTTACCGAAAGACCCACAGAATATGAATCCCTGCAGTCACGAAAGCTTTAAGTCACGATTTAAGAACAAGCCCCTTATGTGCTTGTGGGGTAGAGCAAACCATGCACCAACATCCTAGAAGTCTGCCCAATCCACAGACTCAGCGAAGGCCTACTCACCCTCAAAACAGCATTCGCTAAATTTTGTAAAATAATAAATCCATTCTCATACACATACGCGTTGAATTTCGAATTAAAGCTTTCGTGACTGCAGGGATTCATCTTCTTGGTTCTTTCGGTAAAGTCACGTGGAAGGGAAATAATACAATAATAAAAATAAAACATAATAAAATACAATTCTCACGACGTTTCGGCCAAAACGCAAGCAGCCGTCCTCAGGTGAAGAACAGGTCTGTTGGAAAGACAGCGTCTGAATGAACACCGCCAAGCTTGGCAGCGTATATTTAAGCTGGGTTAGAGGAGGAAGGGCGCCTTGACAAAGGAATTAGCATATCAACAGAGGAATTTAGCATATTTATGGAAAATTCAGACGCTGTCTTTCCGATAGACCTGTTCTTCACCTGAGGACGGATGCTTGCGTTGTGGCCGAAACGTCGCGAGAATTGTATTTTATTATGTTTTATTTTTATTATATTATTATTTTGTATTTTATAATGTTTTATTTTCATTATTTTATTATTTTGTCTTTTATTATGTTTTATTTTTATTATTTTATTATTTCCCTTCTACGTGACTTTACCGAAAGAACCAAGAAGACATACGCGTTGGTTAGCGCACAGCCGCACGAACCCGGCAAACCTGAGTTCAATTCCCGCTCGCGGCCAACACCAGTGACGAATATGTGAACCGGGCTTGAACCTCTCCTGGTGCGGTGTGTGTAAAACATCAGGTCCCGGGGTGACGTGCCGGCCTTCATTGGCGCTCAACTAAACAGCACTTGCCTCAACAGTCTGTCTAAGCTACAGGGGGGATCTTTGTCTTTGTATGCATGTGTGTGTGTGTGTGTGTCCGTGTGTGTAGATGACACGTGCATACGCCCACACACACGCACGTGGCAGGCAGGGTCGTCTAGGAGACTAATTCTGGAATGCCTACCAAAGCTGCCCCACACGCCAGTGTGTGAGTGAGTGAGTGTGATAGGTGCTCGCTGACATGTATACGGGGTGGAGCGGTGATGGATAGCGCACTGGCGCTATGAACCCTGACCACCTGAGTTCAATTTCCGAGCACGGCTAACATCGGTGGCAAGTGATATCACAGCTTGACCTCGCTTGCTGGGTCTCTCGTCTTCACCAAAGCCGCACTGACCAGCACGGTGAAGTGAAGTATGGTCCAGCATTCCCATGATTCAAACTTAATTTGAGTAATTCCCATGATCGATGTGGCGTGGGGTGGCCTCCATCCAGCAGTGCAATGGAACAAGAGCGAGATGGGTTGTTCTCTGCACGTGTGTGTAGGTGTGTGTGTAGGTGTGTGTGTAGGTGTGTGTGTAGGTGTGTGTGTGTGTAGTGTGTGTGTAGGTGTGTGTAGGTGTGTGTGTGTGTAGGTGTGTGTGTAGGAGTGTGTGTGTGTCGGTGTGTGTGTAGGTGTGTGTGTAGGTGTATGTCGGTGTGTATAGGTGTGTGTAGGTGTGTGTAGGTGTGTGTGTAGGTGTGTGTAGGTGTGTGTGTAGATGTGAATTCTCGTAGTCCACGTGAGTTTATATTTGCGTGTGTGATTGTTAACGTTTGCTGCGGGAGAGTGGATAAACAAATCAAACAACGAAGTTGACTTAATTGTATTGCGACGTTTAGCTTATCAATGTGTGTACCTGTGTGTATGCAGTGCACTTCGATCCCGGGAAACCCGAGTCAGATTCCTGCTTCACGGCCAACATCAGTGGCGAAGATCAGAATTGGTCTCTTTAAATTCAAGTTCAAGTTCATGTATTTGGTATAGCCCTGTGAGCCATTCGGCTCTTGAATCGGGTGCAACCGCAACAAACATAAAACAAAAACACGAACAAAAAACATCTTAAAGTGAATATGTGACTAAGTGCAAACAGAAAATCCAAGAAAAGACAGCAAAATATTGCAGAAAAAAACACCGTACACCAACGCTGTGTGCACAAATCCCAGTGGGATGCAAGTCAAACAACAACAACCATAAGACAACTTAGATTAAGGCCATCAGTCTTACTCCGTACTACAACAAACAAACGTGGCCAAATCAGTAAACTTTTCGAAATCACCAAAATAAAGCCATGAAAGCAATGAAAAAGCAATCATAGGAACTGTGACGGAATTTTCACAATAAATGGCATAAATAGGGCTTGAATGAGCGTACCCGGTGCGGTGTGTAACCACCAGCAATAGGGAGACAAAGACGGCCGGGCGTGGTGTTACTGGTCCCACCAGCCCCTCCTCACGTGCTCGCTAACGCAGCACTTGCCCTAACAGCCCATGCAGGCTATACGGGGTACATTTGGCTTTATTGGATGTCTGCTCACCAGCCGCGATGGAGGTGGGCACCTGGGTTAGATTCTCGTGCCAGGTCGAATTCACGTGAGTGCCAGCGTGTCTATGCGTGCAAGTGTTCGTGACTGTACATGTGCGTGTATGAGTGTGTCTCTTTGTGAATGTGTGTCTGTTTATGGGTCTATACATATGTATGAATGTGTGATGCAGAACAGTGGCGTTAGTGGTTAGCGCACTGCGCTACGGAGAGATTCGATCATTAACGGTGGCGAATATCTGAACCGATCATGGGCCTCCCCTAGGTCGATTCGGCCTTAAATGAGTACCTGGTGTTGTGTGTATAAGCATCAGCACTGGGGAGACAAAGGCGGCCGGGCGTGGTGTTGGCAACCACACAACCTCGTGTGTCGTGTTGGCATTCATAAGTGCTACTCGGTAACAGCCCTTGCCCCCCCCTCCCAATACGTTCCATTCATTGGCTACCACATTCAGATAAGCTCCTCCCTCCTCCCCCCTTAACTTGTATTTAAGAACTTGCATCTTGGAATCTCTGCCTCACTTGATACAGCAAATCTGGCTGTGACGGTCCCACCTGATGACGGAGACTTGTGTTGCCTCCGAAACGTCGTGATTTTTATTATTTTATTTTTATTAATTTTAATTTCATTTTTTTACCTACGTGACTTTACCGAAAAAACTAAGAGTATACTTGCCCAAACAGTTTGTTCGGGCTATAAGCGGGATCTTTGTTGTTGTGTTACAAAATCCAAAGGCAGACGATCTTCGTGTGGTGATCATACCGACTCTGAGACAGGTCCTTGAAGGATGAGCCGTCGGTGTAACAAGAAGAAGACCTGAATCGTAACGTGGTGATGATGATGATTATGGTGGTGGTGGTGGTGATAATGATGATTATGGTGGTGGTGATGATGATTATGGTGGTGGTGGTGGTGATGATAACGATTATGGTGGTGGTGGTGATGATGATGATGATTATGGTGGTGGTGATGATGATGATTATGGTGGTGGTGGTGATGATGATGATGATTATGGTGATGGTGATGATGATGATGATTATGGTGGTGGTGGTGATGATGATGATTATGGTGGTGGTGATGATGATGATGATTATGGTGGTGGTGGTGATGATGATGATTATGGTGGTGGTGATGATGATGATGATTATACAAATTTCACTCGAAGACAGTCACTTGAAGGGCGAGTATCATCTGTGCAAGAAATGCAACACGTGATACATTATGGTCGCGATGGTAATAATGGTGACGATCGATGATGAGATGTTATTTACGAGCGAGCCTTGAAGGTCGCGCCTACTGCGTATCGAGGCGAAGACCTGCCCCAGGATGGTGGCGATAGTGGAGATGATGATGATGATGGTCAAGCCAAGCTTGAAAGTTCAGGTGTCCGCTGGGCAACAGCTGAGAGAGTAGGAATGAAACACCTCCGATTAGCACGACTGCCTACGTGCGGTGGGAAAGAGTTCAACATTCATACAAGCGAGCGCGCAATGACCTATTGACCCCGGCCATCACATATCCGCTCTCATATCCATGTTGTATCTCCTGCC